TATGCTGATCTCAACACCTTGTCCATCGTTACTTCGATGTGCGTCTTCCTCTACATATCCGGTCCGACATCTTACCTGTCTGTTATTGCACAGGTTCTTCACATTTGCCATCAAAGAAGCGTTTCGGCGCCACCTCTCAGGGCCGATGACACTGTTCAAGCTTCGCATTGCAATAGCGTTGAGCAAGTCGACCTGGGTATTGCAAGAGAGATTTCTCAAGCTGTCGGCCCTCACTGTGGTGGTTTATGCGATGGTCATATTCCTGCACACGAGGTCTGCACTTTTCTCAATGAACCTAGCGGAGATATGTTTGACGCTGGTTTGTACAGTTGGGGCACTTTACTCCTCCCCACCCCTGTCCAATGGCCTGTGTTAATGTCCGGAACGGAACTAGATCTAGGATCTGTTGCATTTATAAACCAGTTGGGTACGGACCTCATTACCCTGGAAGCGAACCCTTGTATGTCACTGTTTCAATTTCAATGGCCAGCAATAGTCGGGGTGCTCAAGAGGAACCGTTCTAGTACAAGCACCTGCATTTGAAACCATCAATGTCTTGACTCTCCTCAGTGGTGTTGCTGCCATTGACGATCAAGGAGGTGTGCAAACGAGTAGTATGTTCAGCTTCAACGGAGTTTCATACAATCAGTCGACTGGTGGGTACTTCGGCGCTTAAAGATGATGGGCTCACTTGAAACTCGAAAGGTGGAGTTCTTCCTGCGATAGAGGAGTACTCTGGATCATCAAACCCGCCGGGTTCTGACGTTGACCTGGCGTTCTCTGGGGGACGAGTACCGGTTGATACCACTTTTGACTGGGGGCACGCACGCGATGCAGGCACTCAAGGCATTGCGCAGAACTACTCTGTTACACAGCAGGGTGTCACAGCAAATGTTACATGCCAGCCGATCGACCGCAGTCAAAATACATTTAGTATCTATCAAGTACCGACACAAGGGCCGGTTATCATGTTTATCACGTGGGAAGCTGTTGCGAATTGTTCTGGAAGTGCGTTCATCTCTGCCATGAACTCGTTCACAGCTAATCAGCTCCAGATTCAAATTCCCAGTACTACTTCACCGCTGGCAACGCGAGTGGTCAGATGGACAATGCAACCCAGGGACTTCTCCCCACTGTTATATGTCCCAACCCAGAAAACTCGACATTCAACCCATATAAGTTTGGTACGACTTTTGTTATTTCTCGGTGTCTTGCGAGTAAACTGTTTGCAGATGTTTTTATGGCAGGCTTGTACAAGTATAACTTTCTGCCAACGACCGTTTGCGAGGTCGTTCCCTACCTGACCACAGTTAACGTCACTTATAATGGAGGCATAATATCTGTCGATCGGATTGGTACATTTTCTGGCTTAACAAGTAGTCCGAGTCTTCCTCTATCTCAGTACATCGCAACTGTGATTGCTTATCAAACGGGGACAAACCAAGGCATGACCATGAATACAATTGGTGACTTTTTGACCGCGTACGGTACCAGCAATGGATCAGTCATGTACAGCGAACTAGTGACTATCTCTGCTTCCTCTGATATCAATATGACTTATTTCTTTGTAGGAAAATTACTTGCGCGGTATTACAGAGTTTGCCTCCACTGTAAGTGACCTTCATGCATTCCGTGGATATTATTGAGCATTGCATCTAGCAACTTCGATCCGGATACTCTGCTTCGGGAGTTCCGTCGAATATGACAAGGTCGACGAACGGCACGATGTATATCACGACGTACGGCTGGCGAAGCAAATCTTACACATATATCCTTCTGCTTGTGGTGATCACCGTGATCTGGGGCGCCACCATATTAACCGCTGGGTACAGCCTCATCCAAGAAACAATCCATCCCTCTGATCCATCTTTCGACTTTTCTGATCCTATTCATCTCATCATCGCGGCATCTGGCGGAAGACTTGAATCACAGCTTCACGACGGTGATGGAAATGAAGTAGACAATAGCGAGGACATTGTCGTTCGGTTTGAAGATGTACCGGAGAAAGTGGGAAGGGGAATCAGCAAGAGAATGATCCCTGTGGTTTAGAAACCCCTGCCGAAGACTGGGGTTCCATTGTTTGTACTAGTAAATTCACACATTGTTTTGCACTTGCCGTTACTTGCTTCGAAAATTCAAAAACTTAATTTCACTTGAAGCACAGATCTTCGCGTGGGCACGCTTACAAAGGCAGTGTTTCACTCATTCGTGTCAACGCTCGCACTCATGAGTACTGAGCTCGCGATCCGCTCTGGACGGTCAATATCGTATACATCATAATAGTCCACATAGCCTAGGTCGTCTATCGACGGCTTGCCTCATAGACGGGCTGGTCACCAGTCTAAGCCTAGGTAGGCGCCTAGAGTTCTGGCGGTTTATAACCGGCAGAACTAAATCCAAGTAAGTAGTAGTTCTGCCCCCTACACTACCATCGGTGATGCATTGATACATCAAAGCACTGCAGTGATGATGCAGTAGGTGATGCATGGCAAGTGATGCACCAAAGTAGTAGCGATCATGGTGATGCATCACTGCATCCCTGCAATTGCAGCAAAATCTTCCATCAATATGACAAGGACGCCTGCAAGCTGTGATACTGGCACTGTAAAGCTCTGTACAGAACATAGTTTACTGATCGGCGTTTGTTGCTTCCGCCTCCTCACACGGGTACCTAGACCTAATTCGCTTGCTTGCTTCTCGCCTTCCGTGGCATACATGCACTAAATTAATAGCGCCCTGCCGCAGTACTTAACTTGAAGATGTCGGATGGATACCATCACGAAGTCCATTCCGCGCGTCTACCTTCGAAATGCACTTCGTCAACCTTGTCAAAATCGTGAGCCAACCTCCACCGTGACTGGTCTCCGGGGCCTCGTTGATTAAGCTTTCTCGCAGCGCTTGAGTTCTACTAGTCTGCTCCTCGTGACTATCTTCGGCCAGACTGTGATCATGGGTTTTGCATGGGGCTTCACTGGAGGAATCGTGTTCACAGGGGTTCTCGCACTACCTGATCATATCGTTTATCTGATCGGGAGTATCCGACCGTGCTAACCTTGATAGTTACGCTGATCTCGACTACCTTGTCGATCATTACTTCGATGTGCGTCTTCTTCTACATATCCAGTCCAAAATCTTACCCTCACAGGTTCTTCACATTTGCCGTCAAAGAAGCGCTTCGGCACCACCTCTCAGGGCCGATTGCACTGTTCGAGCTTCGCACTGCAATAGCGTTGAGCAGGCCGACTGGGTATTGCGATGTAAATCTCTCAAGTTGTCGACCCTCACGTTGGCGGTTTATGCGGTGGTCACATTTCTGAACACGAGGTCTGCACTATTCTCAACGAACCCAGCGGAGATGTATTTGACGTTTGTTCATATAGTTGGAGCACTTTACTCCTCCCCACCCTTGTCCAATGGCCTGTGGCAACGTTCGGAACGGAACTAGACTTGGGATCTGTGGCGTTTGTAAACCAGTTGAGTACGGACCTCATACCCCGGATGTGAACACTGGTATGTCACTGTTTCAATTTCAATGGGTCAGCGACAATCGAGTGCTCAAGAGGAACCGTTTCAATACAAGCACCTGCGTTTGAAACCATCAATGTCTTGACTCTCCTCAGTGGTGTTGCTGCGGTTGATATTCAAGGAGGTGTGCAAACGAGTAGTATGTTCAGCTTCAACGGAGTTTCGTACAATCAGTCGACTGGTGAGTACTTCGGCACTTAAAGATGATAGGCTTACTTGAAACTCCAAAGGTGGAGTTCTTCCTGCGATAGAGGAGTACTCTGGATCATCAAACCCGCCGGGTCCTGACGTTGGCCTGGCGTTCTATGGGGGACGAGTACCAGTTAACACCAGTTTTGACTGGGGAAACCTCGCAAGCGATGCAGGCACTCAAGGCATTGCGAAGAACTACACTGTCACACAGCAGGGTGTCACAGCAAATGTTACATGCCAGCCGATTGACCGCAGTCAAAATGAATTTAATTTAAACCCACACACGACGCAAGGACCGGAAATCACGTTTTCACGTGGGAAGCCGTTGCGAATTGTTCAGGAAGTGCGTTCATCTCTGCATGAACTCGTCCATAGTTAAATTAGCTCCAGATTCAAACTCACAGATCTACTATACCACTGGCAGCGTGAGTGGTCAGATAGACAATGCAACCGAGGGATTTCTCCCCATTGTTGTATGTCCCGACCACTTTCGACGACATTCAACCCATATAAGTTTGGTGCGGCTTTTGTTATTCCTTTGGTGTCTTGCGATTAAACTGTTTGCAGATTTTTTATGTCTGGCTTGTACAAGTACGACTTTCTGCCAACGACCGTTTGCGAGGTCGTTCCCTACCTGACCACAGTTAACGTCACTTATAATGGAGGTATAATATCTGTCGATCGGATCGATACATCGACAAGCAGTCCGAATTTTCCCTTATCTCAATACATCGCAACTGTAATGGCTTATCAATCGGGGACGAACCAAGGCTTGACCACGAATACAATTGGTGACTTTTTAACCGCGTACGGTACCAGCAATGTATCAGTCATGTACAGTGAACTGGTGACTGTTTCCGCTTTCTCTGATATCAACATGACTGATTACTTTGCAGGAAGATTACTGGCGCGGTATTACAGAGTTCGCCTCCACTGTAAGCGACTTTTTATGCATTCCGTAGATATTATTGAAAATTGGATCTAGCAACTTCGCTCCGGATACTCTGCTTCGGGAGTTCCGTCGAATATGACAAGGTCGACAAGCGGCACGATGTATATCATGACGTACGGCTGGCGCAGCCAAGCCCACACATATATCTTTCTGCTTGTGGAGATCACCATGATCTGGAGCGTCACCATTTTAGCCGCCGGGTACAGCCTCATCCAAGAAAAAATCCATGCCTCCGATCCATCTTTCGACTTTTCTGATCCCGTTGATCTCATCATCGCGGCATCTGTCGGAAGACTTCAATCAGAGTTTTGCGAAGGTGATGGGAACGACGTAGACAATAGCGAGGACATCACCGTTCGCTTTGAAGATGTACCTGACAAAGTGGGAAGGAGAATTGGCAAAAGACTGGTCACTGTCATTCCAGAACCCCTACCAGAGACTGCTTGACCTCGCCCACTGGATGTCGATGTTCGCGCCCCAACATCTCGGTCGACGGTGGAGCATGAAAACCATTTGTTTACCAAGGCTCGTTGATCACCGTGACATTATTACTACTAGTAGGTGCAACAAGAACTAATTCGATCACTATAAACAATATCGCGAGTCTATTTTTCAGCGAGTTCTTGGACACTGGATGACTTACTTGGCTAAGAGTCTAAGACTGGTCAAGATGGACGTCTACAAGTCGAAGCATGCATTGACAGTAGAATCACATAGTAATATTGGCAATCCTAGTCATTTGCCAACGCAAATGAAATAAAAAGATTTGTCACGGTTACGTAATTTGTATTGACGAACTTCCGAGGTTCCTGAGGTTCCTATCCATGGGTTGGAAAAGTTCAGCGTGCTTTGATTTACCTACAGCTACACATTGATATCTACCGTATATACGCCATCTCCACCCATGCTCGTAATTTCTTTTTTGGTGCACGCCTCTTGCCTGCTCGATGAGCTGACAAGGTACTTACTATATGTAGTGCCTGAGTTACTATATCAGTAGCGTAGTCAGCCAGCCAATGAAAATCGTCATCGTCAGTGCCAAACGTGACTTCGGGTTGTATTCCTCGTCCTGGCGGCTGCCGCAAGTAATTATGGAGGCCGAGTCTTCCATCGCAAGCGTTGAGGATCAACGCGATACTCACTCACGTCCACAATTCCGTAGCGGACAGGAAGGCAGGGACATTTCTACCTCGTTCAAGTTGCCAGCGTCTGCTCGCTGCATCTCCATTATACCTGAAATTCGGTGGAAGATTTTCCAGTTGATCCATGATGCCAGCGACAACCATAACGCTCGGCACTTGGGAAACAAGACCCTTCTGGCGCTTGCCTTGACATGCAAGTCATTCACGGGACCTGCACTGAAGCTTTTGTGGCAAGACCTATCCGAGCTCGCACCACTTATTAAATGTCTCCCGCGGAGCCTATGGAAACAAGTGGAAAAAATTGGTTAGTCAAGCTCTGGCTCATACTCGAGAGCATACCAGTTCATACCATTTGCCAGGAATTTCAAAGAGTCATGACCTTAGATGACTGGTCTATTTTCTGCAAATACAATCATCACGTCCGTTCACTCAGAACAGATGTATATCCACTGCTTGGTACCGAAATCTGGCATGCCCTCAGCTGTCCTCCTTTCTCCCTTCCCTTGCTCCCCAACCTGATGTCTCTCTCCTGGGATCGGCTGGCAGCGAGGCATTCCTATGTATCCGGTTGTTTGTGTGCCCAAAAATAACGAAACTCGATCTCTATCCATACTCCTTTGGTCCAACCGAACACTCCATCTTGTCATGCATCTCGATGCTGTGCCCTTCTGTCTCGCACTTTGATTTTAGTTCAGTCACAAAATCAGCAGAAGACCCATCAACTGCATTACAAGGCTGGTCTCATCTAACATCAGTGACCACTACAACAGTTTCCGAGGCCGGAATGCTACACCTATCCAAATTGCCTTCACTCCGATTTCTACAACTCGAATTACCTTCAACACCCATGTCTGTGGTTACGCAAAAGTTCCAGCATCCTGTGTTCTGCGCGTTGCAAGAACTGAACGTGGAATGCAGCAGTCTGGTGCTCTTAGATGCTTTTTTCGAGAGGTTTTCCATTGCTCCAAAAGAAATCTGCCTTGACATCATTGGTGGTGTGGATTCCGCGCGAGCCCTGCCACCTTCACTCTCTCGTTTATCTAACGGATGTGTGCACGACTCACTGGAATGTATGGAGCTCTACATCGACGATCAGCCTACAGATCACGTCACCTCAATTAGAACTGCAGTTTTACGACCGCTATTTGCCTTCCGCAATCTTCGCAAGCTCGACTTCAGAGCCTACCAGAACTATACTTTGCGATGGGATGATGCAGTCCTTTTGCAGATGGCGAAGTCCTGGCCCCTCCTGGAAGTGTTACATCTCAATCGATACGACCATTCGAGTCGTGGAGTCACTCCAAGTGCCTTCATCTCGCTGTTGCAGCATTGTCCGTGTTTAATCTCGGTTGCCATTATCGTGAACTGGTCTACTATCGACGAATGTGACGTATCTCCGGATGCTCCTCACCAAGGATTTGCACACAAGACATTATCTGAGGCATTCTTTGGCAGTCCAAGGATTCGCCATCCGACAAGGATCGCCGCTTTCATCTCAGCCATCACGCCCAATTTGGAGTCAATTGTTACATGGGACCCCCAGTTTGGTAGGGGACAGCAAGACTCTAAAAAATACATCACTAGGTGGAAATGCGTCTGTGATTTAATCAAGGCTTTCTCATGGTCCGTGAGCAGGTTAGGAGGATGGTGCTGAATGCAGGCGAAGGAGTTGATGGAAACGGAATCGCGCAGCCAGCGCATGAGACCGAAAATGGCGATGCGGCGACTGGTGAGGGTGACAATGGTGAAGGGTAGAGAGGTTTCTGAAGAAGATAGTGGAAGTGAGGGTGAGTCAGAATATATGTCTGACGAGTCCTCAGAGGAGGAGGAAGAGTGATTCAAAACATGTACTTCAACGTACTGAATTTCCCGGCCTCGTGGGCTGTTTTTTTAGGCTTCAGACTATCGAAACAGAGTCTAGAATGCAGACGATGACGACATTGTGTCGAAGCTCCTCGCAGCTTTGTGTGTTCCACGGTCGTTTTTTCTCATCTCCAGGACTGCACCATCGTTGGACGAAAGTCCGACAACGTGATGCGAATATTCGCTATATTAAACGCTTGGGTGAGAGATTACTGGTGCTTGACTAGTCGATCGATGGGTTCTCCGTTGTGACCCAATCGTCTGTCTTTACTTCTTAGGCAAAGCATACTTCCTGACAAGCCGATAGGTTCTTAAAGATCTTCAAAGTTCAAACCACTCATGGGTGCCGGTGATGCTTGGAACGATGGTTGTGCTGCTTCTTCTGCCTTGTGAAGTTAGGGTGTCAAGCACGGGTTGAGGACTAGTGGGCGAGATTCTTGCTGTAAGCTGTAGTGCCTGTAACTGCTATTTTCATCAGCTTCATGTTGGCTTCATAGCGTTAACTCTCGCGTGTTTGGTAATCCGCTCGCTGCTGGACACTGCGTTGAGTCATGTAAAGTACAATATCAATGTGACCAGCCACAGCTGTAGATAGCCCAAAAGTCTCAAGGACATGCGATGATTAGATCCTACAACAGCGTTCACACCCTCACTGATAACTGCTTCAGCTTCAGGCCCAGCAAGTGTAAAATCTGCAGAGATCATGTAAATATATTTAGAATTGTGTGAAATCGACAAACTGACCGATGTAAGGCAAAGACATCCCCTTTAGGAAGTTGATAAAACGTTGAGTGTTCGATCGCATACAGACCGTTACGTAACTTGTACTGTACTAGTAGATCATCGACATCCATCGTGGTGGTGCCAAAGTTCGGGTCGTCCTGCGCTCGCCGTGTGCATAGTACTTACGATGAAAGTCGAGTTCTCCGTCGAAAGCGTTAAGCATCAACGCAAGGCCCAAAAGTTCCATAGCGGACAAAGAGGCTGCGACGTTTCTGCTTCGTTCAAGTTACCAGCGTTTACTCGTATTTCACCTGAACTTCGATGATGCAAGATTTTCCAGCTGGTCTATGATGCCAGTGACAACCCTAAAGCAAGGCGCTTTGGAAACAAGACCCTCCTGGCGCTTGCCTTGACGTGCAAGTTATTCACGGAACCTGCACTAAAGCTTTTGTGGCAAGACCTGCCCGGGCTTGCGCCACTTATCAAATGTCTCCCGCGAAGCCTATGGAAACAGGTGGAACAAAAATTGGTTGGTCAAGCTCGGGCTGACATTCGAGACGCACATGAGTTCACACATTTGCCAGGAATTCCAAAGACTTATGACCTTAGATGACTGGTCTATTTTTTGCAAATATCGCCATCACGTCCGTTCGCTCAGAACAAATGTCTATCCGATACGAGTTGGTGCCGAAATTTGGCGTGCCCTCAGATGTCCTCCTTTCCCCCTTCCCTTGCTCCCCAACCTGATGTCTCTTACCTGGAGCTCCGATAGCAACGAGACGTTCCTACGGATGCGGTTGTTTGTAAGCCCCAAAATAACGACACTCGATCTCATCCCCGACACCTTTGATCCATCCGAACACTCTGTCTTGTCATGCATCGCAATGCTGTGCCATTCTGTCTCGCATTTTCGTTGCTTGCGTGTTTATCCACAGAATCAGAAGGCTCCTCGACTGCACTACAGTGCTGGTCTCATCTAACATCAGTGGCCACTTCAATACTTTCGGAAGCCGCCATACTACACCTATCCAAGCTGCCTTCGCTCCAGTTTCTACAGTTCACATTGCCGTCAACACCTATGTCTGTGGATACACAAAAGCTGCAGCATCCTGTATTCTGCGCGTTGAAAGAACTGAACATAGAGTGCAACAGTATGGTGCTCTTAAATGCTTTTTTCAAAAGGTTCTTTGTTGCTCCAAAATTATTACCTCTTGAAATCTCTGCTGGTGTGAATTCCGCACGGGCCCTGCCGGCTTCGATCTCCCGCCTATCTAATGGATGTGCTTACGGCTCACTGGAACAGATGCAGCTCTACATCAACGATCGGTCTGGAGATTACACTACTCCAATCAGAACCGCAGATCGCATCACTTCAATCAGAATTGCAGTTTTCCGACCACTCTGTGCCTTCCACAATCTTCGCAAGCTTGACTTCAGAGCCTACTACGACTATGTCTTGCGATGGGATGATGCTACCCTATTGCAGATGGCTAAGGCCTGGCCCCTCCTTGAAGTGTTACATTCCAACAAATATGACCATTCGAGTCGTGGAGTCACTCCAAGTGCCTTCATCTCGCTGTTGCAGCATTGCCCGCGTTTAGTCTCGGTGGCCATTATTGTGAACTGGTCTACTATTGATGGGTGTGCTGTGTCACGGGATACTCCCTACCGAGGATTTGCACACAAGACAATATCTGAGGTATTCTTTGGCAGTCCGAGAATTCGCCATCCGACAAGGATTGCCGCTTTCATCTCAGCCATCATGCCCAGTTTGGAATCAATCGTTACATGGCACCCGGAATTTGGTGATAGGAAACACCCGGACTCCGAAAAATACTCCACTAGGTGGAAATGCGTCCAGGACTTGATCAAGATTTTCTCCGCAGTGCGCGAGCAGGGGAGGAGAATGGCGCTGAATGCACGTGAGGAGGTCGATGGAAACGAAGGCCCATACAACCACTACGGAATCGCACAGTTCGCACATGAGCCCGAAAATGGAGATGCGGCAATTGATGGAGGTGGCAATGATGAAGACGGGGAGGTTGCTGAAGCGGATGGCGGAAGCGAAGGTGAATCAGAGTATACGTCTGACGAATCCTCAGAGGAATAATGAATTAAGACATGGTCAATGACGTACTGAATTCCTCGCAGTTCGCGTTCCAAGTTATCGAAATAGAATCTAGTATGCAGAGGACGACGTTGGTTCAGATGTCCTTGCAGCTTTTTGTGCCCTATAATCGTTTTGCCTTACTGCCAGAACTACATCTTTGCGAGTCACTTGGAGCAGTTCTGCTTGGAGAATCACATTAACATTGTCTCGACTACCGTGCTATGAATACTCGATGTTCGCGATCCTCGACATATCCTATTTCTGAGCGATTTGGGCGAAGGCGCGCAGCGCCTCCCGGTCCCGAGTTGCGTGTCCTGCCAGATAAAAGGTGAGCTGCGGTTCCCAAATGTCTAGGAGTTCGACGACGCATCGAGCGAACCGAAGATACCCATAGAACTAGGAGGAGGATGGATGCTTACATGAAGAACCCGTCACCGAATGCGGGGCATTGTGTGCCGCAGGAATTCATCTTGAATGGCAGGCGTTGCTTGAAGGTATGGTGCGAGAATCTGAGCGTGATCTCGAAGATAGATCTGGAAGGCATCACTGGCCCATCTTCCCATCGTCTTGACGACTTCGAATGGGATGTTTCGGAGGAGGTATTCCAAGGTGGCGCCTATTCTGATAGCGTGGCCTTGCAACGGGTCAAGGCCAGCATCCTTTGCAGCGCGAGCGAGCCGTGTGATGAACTTCGTTTTTGTCAAAGGACGGTTGTGCCTCGCCGAACTTATAGGAAAAGAGTGCGATATCGAAGTGGGGGTTGTTGATGTTGAGATGGTTGGATAATGCTGCCTCAGGATCAGTAGGGCCCTCTTGTTTCGCCCAGAAAACATCCTCCCCATTTTGCGATGTTTTCGTGCGGGGCAAATGAAAAACTGTAGTCGCGAGCCCATTGCGGTCTGTTTCATGGCGAATGTCGGATCGTTTGACATGAATGGAGGGATCGAATGATGAAAGGGTTCAGACCGTGAATTCTCCAGCTCTGGCCATTGAATAAAAGGCTGTTGTGAGACAGCTACCCACTGCGGCATCGAGAGGGTTGTTGGGGTCTAGTTTCTGCAAGATGCTAGTTATGAAAGCCACAGTGTAAGGTGGTCTTTTCTTCCTTCTTGATGACGAGGGCGTGTGGTTCTTGGCTGCTCTTAGCATGGCATCTATTTTGTCGTCATCTAAGGACCATGATTTTCCATGTAAGATGTGCCATGCACGAATACCGTGGACATAACTCGATATAGTTTTCCCTGAATATGATCCGGCTAAGTCTGAAATAAAAGCTGAAATGAGTTCAGAAGACGCTGGTGCACGCATGGCTTCGTTGATGGAATTTGAGTCACAGTATACATGGTAGGCAAGGATGCCACTTCCATATGCCTCCTGGGTGCTGCCGGCCCATGCGTGGATCATGACATCTTGAATGCGCTGTGCATCGGCGTGAGGAAGGGAAGATAATGATTCGTCATCAGTGGCTGGTCGCCATAGACGGAGCCTGTCCTTAGCTGCACAATGGGGTCTTAGGACGGAAACCCGAGGGCTGAGATTAGCAGGATAAGCCGCAATAAGCTTGCGTCGCTTTAAAGAGCTCTTCTCCTTGGCGACGGAGCTCGTCGTTGAGGTGCTCAGCTGATTCTCGCGAGCGGGCTCGGTCATTGACATGTGGGAGCGCTTTGACGTTCTTGCTGCATGCATGGCACTCAGAAGGGATAGCGGGATCGTCGAAGTTTGTGATGAAGGGTTGGAGTGGCTGGGGAATGCTAATTGGGGGAAGCAATAGGTCTGAGGGAGGGTAGATTCCCCTGGACGGAGCGTCTGCTGGTGTTGTAGTTACTGGGTACATAGCGCGTGAGGAAAGTGCATTGTGCGGATGCAGTGAGCTCATGGATCCTTTTGAAGACAGTATTGGTGGCTCTGTTGCGGCTACGCCCTTTCCACCACCCTTCGACAACTCCTCGATTGTCCCCGAATATTTTAATGCAGCTGCCCGTTGGGCATGAACCGAGGAGTGCAATAATGAGGAATTCCATACCGACAGCCCTCTGCCCAGCCAATGTCTCTGTCCTCGGCTTTCCAGCCTGGGAGGAGACATCAGCAAACCCAGGGGTCCTCTGTACAACCCTGGACAGTGCTGGACAGAGCCACAGAGCCCACAGAGAGGGTTCTCCTCTGTGCAGCTCTGTACAGAGTCGTACAGTGTAATGTATGATACTGTACAGAGCTGCACAGAGCGGTACAGAGTGTTAGCTACACTGAGCAAAACAATACAGAGCATTGGGTAGGCCAGACAGGAATACTGCAGAATGCTCACAGCATCACTACAGAAAGTGCACAGTAATTGAAACCAAACAAATCATGATGTCATTGTGTCATACTACAATCAGGTATCCTACAAAATGCTAAAAACACGATCAGTCCAGTTGGAGTTTCAAGCCCCAGTCATGGCGCCTGTTTGGATCATCGCGAGTCAGGATTCTTGCATAGCCGTCAGAAAATGATACAAATGATAAAAAAAGCTTCACAATACCCTGCAGTACGAGCCCATTTCTTTCTGGCGGCCCGGCATTTCTTTGCATGATAGTGGTCCTTCTGCACATCATGGTAGAGCTGAATGACGCTGTTGTAGATGGGTTGATATAAATCGGCGACGAATTTCATTTGCTTGTAAGTACCGGTCTTGTACTCGTCGATAGCGGCAGCAAGCTAGTTAGAGGGGAGCTTGAGGATGAACACCATTAATGAGGTCGCGCGCGCAAGCAAAGTAGTCCTTGACAAATGCTGGACAAGACCACCCTCGTTGTCTTCGTCCCTTTCGTGGTCCTCCTGTGCACGCATCTGGAGTGCGAGGTCAAAACGCTCCACCTTATCACGACGATCGAGGTGGGCGACACACTTGCGCGTCGTAGTCGTGATTGTTCCCTGCCCTCGCTGGCTCCTTCACAACCTTGATGTGCGCATGTTCAGTGGGGTCTGCAGACCACTGCATGACAGCGCCGTGTGAACAAATACTGGGCACTACCCCCTGCAGCAGCTCGAGCTTTGGAATCGCCCATGGCTTATCCCCACCCCCCTTCCTTCCCCCGCCGAGCACCAGCGTCAACGATAGACTGTTTGAACCGATGAAAGACTTTAAGACAGCGGTCTAAATCTACCACTTGCTTGTCGGTGAAATGCGGGGCTTGAGCGAGGTATCTAAACTCCAATGAGGGGCCCGAATAGCAGATATGAAGTCGGCAGGGGCAGCACCAGCAATCACGCCAACGATATACCGTTTGAACGTTGCGATGGTCTCGCCCGGTGGCTTGCTTCAAAGCAGAGATTCCCTCCTTGAATGCACGGTAACCAGTGCACACCTGGAGGAGCGCAAAACGAAAATCAATTTCCTGCGAGCCAACCACTGTTGTGCACCAGAGACGATCATGGTCCCAGAACATTTTATGGAGATGGTGAAGTAGTTCTGGAGTGAGGAAGGAGGAAGGATTTGCGGTAAGCCAATTCCTCCAGAATGGCAAGTCAACACCGTTTAGATTGTAGCGTTTGCATGCCTCGAAGAACGGGATGAGATCGGAAGGTGAGATAGATGTTATAATCGCTGCAATGTTGGCAAGGGTTGATGATCCATCACGAGGAGGGTGTCGGATTGGGTCTCCAAAGTCTTCACGGGTAGCCATAGTGACAGGCGATGAGTTCATAGTGGCGCATGCAATTACAAGTTCCTCCGGAGTATCTGCGACATAAGCAACGAGGGGGGTGAAGCAATACCTGCTAAAACCCCGTGGATCACTCATCATAACGCCAAGACGGGCAGCCTGCTTCAATGGCTCAACAACGAGGTCGATACATTGGTGAAGTAAACGGTCTGCGAGAACCCCATGCATGCGCTTGTTCCTGTGCAAGAACTTTGCAACAGGAAGCAAAGCAAGTGGGATATATGCATGTAAGGAGCCTTTGGCATGCACTCCAGGATCAATATTGGCGAGACTAACAAGAAGTGGATGCGCGTAACGGTTGCCAGCGATGTTGCTGACCTTGGTCTTGTCCGAGGAGAGGACTACACCAAGGAGGGATGCACCTTCAGGTAGGTCTTTCTGTGGTCTTGTTAGTTATACAGAACGAGGAATCAAGACACGAGACCTTACCTGAAGGTTCCAAGCATGATCGCCTGTCATGAAACCATGATAAACTCGAACCGCACGTTCGGCAGACTCGTAAACCTTGCATGGGATGAAATCAAAGCTGGCGGCCAACAGTGGGTGACTGAGAAGTGACTGCAAGCACTCGATTGCGTCCCGATAAAATATTTGAAGGGTTTTTGTCGTTGGAAACTCGGTAGTGATTTTTTGATACTTCCATTGAGGGGGAGCTGGGAGCAATTCAACACATCCTCGGAGTTCTCGCGAAGAGCGAAATGACAACGGGAGTGTTTTGGTCTGAACATAAGTTTAGACGAAGAAATTTAGAGGATAGATGAACTCACAAATTCAAGATTGAGGTACTCGTCGATTTCGGCCATGCTAAGATCGGACCGAAGAATATACGATGCCATCTCCCAGTCCGGTTTGCTAGCGAAAGGAAAGTATTGGTTTTGCTCCCTCTCTGCAGCATATTCATCCTCGTTGAATTGGTCCATGAAAGTCTTCCCAACACCCCACGTCTTGCCTGCACCGTCATAAAACTCCACTTCTTCACCGTAATCTGCCTGCGAGCCTGAAGACCCATACTCCGCTCCAGTGTCTGCATCAACTCCATGGTCCATATACTCCGGGTCAAAGGTCGGGTCCGTGTCGTTGTGGAGAGGAAATTGAGGACTTGGAGCTTGTGCTGGTCTTAAGATGCGAACTAGGTTACCATCCCACTTGTAACAGTGAGAAGAAGGCTGATTCAGGTGTTGCAGAAAGCGTCCCTCATTCTTAAAACGCTTGCTGCAGGAGGGGCAGCGCATATCGAAGGTGCGAAGTAAGTCATTGAACTCATTTGGATTCAATATTGTCCCGGCAATTTCCGGGACGACGCAAACTGTAACTACAATGTCGAAGTGTCGTTCAAGCTATGCCTCACCATCTCAATCATCTCAATCCCCGTATTCGCTATGTCGAGGCCAACAAATCTCAGATTCTGTAACTCCTTCCGACATCTCAGATGATACATCTGACTCCTCGGAAGTGTATAATATGGTGAGTTATGGGCTGGATTCTAACACTTGCCTTGAATCAGTTTTATCTACAGTACATACGCCGCTACCCAAATGAACCATTTGACGCTTACATGGACTCAATGCCGGAGACTTCAGAGGAAGCATCTTACCTGCTCGAGATGGCACGAGCTGATCTCGAAGTTCGACGTCTCGAGAAGGACCTTGCTGAGCGGCTTCTTCATCAATTTCGCATGCGCAAACACCACCTACGACTTCGAGCGAAGAGGGCAAAGAGAAATTTTGGAGATGCGGAAGCTAATGTAGGGCGCACACGCGCTCTCGTGGTGAGGTGCGGGTTTGTCTGCTCAGAGCGGTCACTTTGGTCTCCTCGTCCAAAATCCACCATCAAGTCATGTAAGCGAATTCGTTCTTAAAATCGGTATGCAGTCGCTGATGAGTACAGCTGATTAGAATATCTGTCTGTTGGATGTTGCATTGTGACCATAGCCTTGTACTGTGTACATGATTGTCAATACATATACGCATTGCACATTTTATATTTTAGCTATCTGTTGAAGTACTTTATTAAATGAATATAAGTTGTCACGCTGTGAAATGCATTCTCCGAGATCTCGTGTTTTGATGAAGACCAGCAAGATATTGATATTAATCTATAATTTACATCACATTTTATCGCCTGACCCTGTGCACTGTGCGAGACTGTGCCGCACTGTCACTCTGTGCGCTCTGTGCGCTGTACCACTGTGGGGCTGTGCTAGTTGTGTCGCTGTGGGAATCTTGTATCCAAAACCGGTAGTTTGCTGATGGATGCCACGCTCGCCATCTGCCGTTGATCCAAATCGCGATGCCAGTGCCTGAGCTAGCATCTGAGTAAGCCGAGGGGTCAATGACTTCGACGGGCCCTGGGATTGGCCGAGAGACGAGTGATTGAGAGAGGCTGGCTTTCCACCACCGGAGGTCATCACCTGTGTGCTTGGGGGGGGAACGAGGCATGTGTGGACGGTCGTGAAAGATGGATAGCATGGTTTCGAGAGAAACGAGGTAAGCTCTTCCCGCTGGGAGGACCAGAGAAGCATGTAAGAGTTTCCCATAAAGCTCCTGGACTTCCCGTAGTGTGTGCGAAGACCGAATCTCCCATTCCCTGATAGCTGCCACATACTTCTCCTTCTTGCTCTGTGGGATCGAGATAGAACGCGACTCGATGTCCCAAAGGAAACCGATAAAAGGGGCACATGACGAGAAAAGGATGTCCTTTGCCAGTTCCCAGGGTATTCCAAGAATTTTGGATAGGCGGTTGATGTCGTCAAAGCAAAATGTGAAGCGAGCATCTTCTGGTGATCGCGGGGAGGCTGTTGAGAGATCAATGATGGGAAATGAACAGTCTTCGTCAAACTCTTCAATTCTGCCGTCAGGCATGGTTGAACCACGATACCATTTTCGACCTCCTTCAATAAGCATGCCACCATTTCGTGCAATGATAGCAGCACGAGATTTGCGCAGGTTGTTGTAGCTGGCAAGGTGCTCTCGCAGAATCCGAATGAATAGGTGATCATCCACCCATTTGGATACAGGACCAATTCCTTGTGATCGGAATATGTCTGCACCAGCATCTGCAACCTCGCCATAGGTTCCCGCTGATGCCGAGAACCCGAAACAAAAGCTAGAATCAATTGCAAAGCTGTCTTCTCCTGTCCTGATGACCAAGCCTGGCCATTGAGAAGGATGAAGAGGTACTGTGCGGTAGGCTTCAGCTACGTCACGAACAGCTGCCTGAGATCCTGGGGGGAGAGACCAGATGAGTAGACAGATTGTTGATGCTGTGCCCCACGTGCATGGATATAAGTTAGAGTCGATAGAGGAATTAATGGATGATACTGTAGCTGATGGACGAAGCGGGAATGAGAGGTTTTGTACGAGACGGAATCTTCCTGGCTTTCCCGGCTTAGGAACCATGGAGAGTGGGGCTGTCTGAAAAGGACCAATGAGTTCTTCAGTCTCTGATTTAGATATAGGTCCGATATAACGACCAGTGGAATATTCACGGTCCAGAATGGCAGTAAAGGCGTCAAAATGTGCATGTAGTGAGGGGTTATTAGGTGGGGTATAAGTTTGAGATATGGTTGGGACGCTGCCCATGAAACCAAAGCGAAAACCATTCGGAATATGTGCATATTTACGTATGAGATTTGAAGAAAATGAGAAACTGCAGCCAGGCCTCAGGCCTATAGGGAGTGATAGCGTTAGATGCTCTCGCTTTGAGGGCAGTCTTGAGCTCCGTGATCCTTTGCTCCGCATCCTGAAAATTCGTGCACGTGAGTTCGAGAGGGGTTGGTGCATCCCTTGGGTCTCTGCCAGTCGTAGCAGATTTCGAGGCCCTCTGGATTGACCAAGTGACCCTCTGCGTTTCGACGACATCGAGTCTTGGTTCGTTTGTCCATAGGAACTCGGATGCGCATTTGTGGATGGGGTGACGGAACCGGCCGAGGCATAGGGCGCAGGCTGATGGGCTGGTTTGGCCTGCGCCCGCTGGAAAAAAACTGCTGCGACTTCTGTGGTTTCTTTGCCATTTGGTTAGCAGGGCGGTACGGGTGATAGCGGCCATCATTCACAAGAGGGTACCGTCTCTGCATGCCCGTTTCGGCTGGAACTCATGTCTCTCCCCCGAGAACGGAAGGAAGTGTTGGGAACTGCAAGCGAGTTTTGCAACTGAGTGAGATAGAGCAAGCATGAAAGGATTCGAGTAAGCCAGGGTTCGAACAATTATACGAAAGCAAAGATTTGGTTAAACCATGGTATACAGGGATGTGCGAAAGCAGTGTGGGCATAAGCGAAGCAGCGGTTAAGTTGTTTGAGAGGGACACAGGAAAGCGGGAGCACAGGAGTTTGTGTCAGCATGAGGGTAGATAGAGCGGCAGCATAGCGAGCGCAAGCAAGGGAGAGCGGAAGACAGAAGACGAAGTCATATATGTGTTAGCACGTGGGAAGCAGATGGGAATTGTACCCCGAAAGCAGGGATAGCCAAGAGTGAAAGCATTTAGACAGCCAGCAGGGTCCGTTTCCGAAGTGAGATTGAATATATGAAAGAAATTGGTCAGTGATCGAATGTTGGTGGGTGACGCACTACGCACCATTTTGAGACCCTCATCTCGTTCAGCCTCCCATACGTCGTCAGATATCGAGTTGTATAGGGCATTATTGAATAAACCAATGTTGAACCCTTGGTCTTGCGCTAAGCGATCATGCCATTCACGGCGCACAAATCCTGCGTAGCGAAGCAGAGCCTTTTCTCCTCGTGGCCGCATGCGATGCTCATGGTTGGTAATGAGCGTGAAAAATAATGCTAAAGCCTGCTGATGCTTTTGCGGCCAGTTGTTCTTTTCAATGTGCACAAGAAAGCTGGTCTTTGCGAGGTCAAACTGCCGCCAAGATAGGTCATGATCCTGTAGAGCCTTCTGAGAGGCTTTGAAAGACGCGATCGTCTTGAGGGCAACTACACCATCCACTTTGGCGAAGCCAAAAGCGTCATCTGAGTCTGACGTGGACCTAGAGGTGGTGGAAGCCTCGTGGCAACCGTCAGGGCTAAAGTACCACAATTCTACATACTCCATGTTCTTGATCCTTTGGATAGCATACTGGGATGGGCGAGGTATGATAACGTCTGCAACGAGAGCCCCTTCATCAAAATCGTTGATCTTGGGCTTTTTCTTCTCAGCTTCGCGCCTCTCTAGCTGTTCCTCGGCCTCTTTTTCAGCTCTCTCGTGCTCTAACTGTTCTTGCAGGGTGCGAGCATCTTCCTCATTCTGTTGCTGCCAAAGGATAATGCGTTCCTGGCGCTCGAGTCTCCAGCCTTCAGCCATTTGCTCGAGTGCATCTTCTCTGGCCGTGCCCCCTGCCACAAGGGCGTTGAGCCATCCCGCGTATGCTGCTGACTCGAAATTGGGCTGCGCTTCCAGCGCTGGGTCTGCTAAGATGCGTTGCATGGTAGGCCGGGTGAATTCGGAGAGTGTTTGCTAAGAGTGTGTTTTGGAGAAATTGACTGAGTGTTTCTAAGAGTAGTAGCAAGAGTAGGAAGAACGGAGAAAAGAGAAGGAGGAAGAACGTCGTCGTTGAGGACGACTGAGACGATACGGCGCGACGTTGCAGTACGAAGTCAGAAGGTTCGTACTGCCTCCGACGCTTGCGCAAAGACTTAACTCTATTCCTACACTCGTTCCTCGTTACATAATAGACTATCAACATCTGGACAAAAGTCCCACGATATAATGCGATGTTAGATAGCTTTGGTGTGGAATCGCCAGTAGTTGGTCTCCTGACCAGGTGGTAAGCTCCCTGTCGTAAGCACCGCCTTCTACCAACCGCCTGCCTCGCGATGCTGCCTTTGCGTGGCACACCGTGTCATGCTTGAGCAAAACGCTTATTTCTCAGATGAAGCATACTTTCTGACAGGTCGATAGAATCTTCAAGATCTCCAAAACCACTCATGCATGAGTGTTGGTGATGTTGGAAACAGTGGTCGCACTACTCCTTCTGACATTCTTACGAATTCGAGGTGTCATGAATCTTGCTATTATGAGCTGCAGGTGCCTGTACCTGCTCTATGTATCTGGTAATCCGCTGTAGATGGCCCCAAAGTCTCAAAGACATTCGACAATCAGATTTAATCGCATCATCGTTCACAGTCACTGAAAAATCCGAGAATAATTCGCATATCACAAATTTGAGACAATAATTTAGGGTCACCTAGAAATGTTTACAAACATCCACCCATTCATCCATGCATCTTTTACTCACGACGTCGCCACCTGTGGACCTCCAATCGACATGTCCAAAAATTGGTTTTGTAAACCATGCACGCTGCCATGCGCCCCGGGACCTTGTGGGTACTCACCCGACGGTGAACTCCCATACCCTGGCGCTGACGGCGGACTCTGAGCGTAGCCGCCTGCTGCGGGCGGCCCATAACCATCGCCTGCCGGCGGCGCATACCCATGCCCCTCAGACCCTGGTCCAGCATATCCACTCTGTCCAATTGGAGAGAGCTGTTGTTGACGTGGTGGAGAATGATAACTATACGGGGCAGGGCCACCTGCAGTCGTAGATGACGTCCGTTGCAGCGAAGATACACCACCAGTTGCACTGGTCGGCGACACCTGCGGGGCAGATGCAGGATCTTGGTAGTATGGCTGCGAGGGGTATTGGCTTTGTTGGGGGTTGGGGTTCATGTACGTTGCGTGCTGGGAGGTCGGCGATTGATGCATGGCTTCCTGGTGTGCAGGTGGTTGCTGAGCCTGAGCTTGGTATGGATCCAGTGATGATTGGTGCGATTGAGGGATTTGCTCTGGCGGTGATGATGCATCACTTACGCCTGGCACTGAAATAAAGTACACCGCCCCAGCAGTATCCGTCCCACCCTGCGCATAGTATTGCGCCCATGCTTGAGCATTTGGATCTGGATATGTTGCATTTGGATCGAAAACGTAGGGCGGGCCAGCACTTTGAGGTTGTTGTTGCTGAGTTTGCGGTTGCAGCTGTGGCTGTGGCTGTGGCTGTTGAGCATGTACTCCGGGCGAATACTCAGCAGGTTGTTGTGGTTGTGGTTGTTGCTGTTGGGGATGAAGTTGTTGTTGAGGCTGCTGCTGAGGTTGCTGCTGAGGGTAAGGCGATTGCGAAGTCTGTGGGTACGGTATCTGTGCAGGCTGAGGGTACGGTGCCCCGCCGACATGGGCGCCGTAAACTTGCCCTTGTTGGTATGCATATGCAGGGTCGGGGTGTTGCGGTGGTCCAGGATGAGGCTGGGGTGGGGGCTGATGCTCGGGCTGATGCTGGTAAGCATTATTGGGGCCTCCATACCCATATGGTTGGGGTTGGTCATAACCGTATCCGTAGGGTTGTGCTGGGTGCGGACCGGAATCGTACACTGCAGAGGATAAGGATATCTGGTAATAACAGAGAGCCGTCTTGCTTACTGGTGGTGTGACGCGCAAGGCTGTCTTCCATTATCCGATCAAATATTGTGCGTGCTTTCACAAAGGACTCGTTCATCGATACCAAATCAGCTATGTGATTCGTTAACACGATTTGAGTAGCATACAAGGGAAAGAAACCGCACCCCGCTTCTGGTTGTACTTGTCAATGAGCTTGACAATCTTGGGACGGAGGGCCATGCATGAACGGTATAATTCCTGAATTTCCTCGTTATCGGCTAGGTTCTCTCTTGAAGCATCCAGATTCCTCAGCATTGACAATAATCGATCGACGTTCGCAGCTTGAGCGAAGACAGCTGCTTCTTGCTCTGCCTCACGTGCAAGCTCAGCAGCAGTTGGCTCAGGGAGAGGTTCCTACGCATAGCGGAATCAATAATGGAATGATAAACGCATGGAGCAGAACGGGCGCAATAGCAACGATTGGGAACATGTTAGCCGATCATATGATTAAGTGGGAGTAAAGAGACTTACAACATAATTCACAGGGAATATTCCTGTACGTCCCTTCAGTTGCCCTCGCCACCAGTCTTTGTAACCTCGATCAACAACCTTGATCACATCACCTTTTTCAAAGGCGAGTTCGCCCGGTTCCGTAGGCTCAAAGGTGTGCAGAGCGCGGACACGAGTGACTACTACTGTTGAAACTTGGGACGGTAGCGACGATGTCGAAGAGGCAGCCATGGCTGGTACTCCGGCACTTGTGGGAGAATATCCCGATGTTGTTCTGGCATTTGAATGATGACTATTTGGTGTGTACGCAGGAGCCTTTGGACTCGGCGACTGCGCTGGGAAATACCCAGATGCATACTTTGCAGCTGCACCAGAGGGACCAGCTGAGGCAGCAGGTGCATAAGTAGATCGCCCGCCCTTGTCACGCATGCTGATTTCGAGGGCCCGCTGGAGTTCCTCCTCCTCCCGTCGCCGTGCCTCGTCGTCAACACTGGGAGGGGCTGGCTCGGAGGGGGTTTCGAATTGATAGCCTGTGAGCCGAGGGATGAGTTGGGATACCATAGGGTGATGCATGAAAGGAGAGAACGATGGGGATCATGGTTGGTGTGGAAGGGGGTGGGTCAAGGGAAAGGGGATGAACGTACTCTTTGCTTTCAGATTGTTGTAGCAGTCCTCCATAATTCCTAGAGTAGGGTCGTGTTCAAACTCTGCTGTCCACATCGCAATGAGGCTGAGAGCCCTCCGACGAACTTTTTCATGTGTTGTCTGTTATGCATCCGAATTAGTTTAGTCAGAAGCATAACATGGAGTAGTGTCAAATTGGGACTGAAGGATAGTCTCAACGCAGGAGTATACACGTACCCGATCAACAATAAGCTTCTCCAATGCCCCAGTAAATGCCCGGCTCGCAAGCTCGCGATGAAGGTTGATACCACAATTCTTTGAGAGAGACTCTCCTAGCGAGAGTGCGTAGAGTTGTACATTGGGGCTCCGGTGGGCCAGACGCTTTAAAAGTGCTGCGATCACGTTACGGGCACTACCAAACATAATTCACGTTAGGATCGGTTATTATGTACCAACAAATTGATTGGTTTGAGATCGTAACAGTGATAAGCTCACCCTTGTTCACCGTCGTCCTGTACTTTATCACATAAATTGAGAATGACCTCCCAGTTCTCGCCTGTTAAATTCTCGTCGGTAGCCTTGGCTGAGGCATTCAAGACATGGTATTAGAATATAATGGTTGATACAGTGAGCATCGCGTACGCACCCACTATATCATCATAAGGATTTGCTTGATTTGCTTTAAACATGGTTGCTCTAAGCTACCTGGTCGTTGAACAAGATGACGAATGTAATTGCTAGCGGTAACGGGTTACAGGGACTCTGAGCAACTGCGCCTGCGGAGGCTGTGCTGTGCCGCAAATACCCGTTCCTCCCAACGCTATCTTAGTCCCCAAGTCATACATATACCGTCGCATACAATCACTCATTTTTCCATTCTACAAAGAATAATGGCGGCCAGAAGTAAGTCTGATATGGATCACAACACAAGTTAAACGTTTACTGATTTCTCATAGTTCCCCGTAACTTCCGCCTCCTAGAAGAGCTGGAGAAAGGAGAGAAAGGCATAGGAGATGGCAGTTGTTCGTATGGTCTCATGGATGGCGACGATATAATGATGAGCAACTTGGAATGGAACAATTCTTGGCCCGGGACACGTATGTGCTTCCAGTTAGTATTATATCGCTTGCTGATCGATGCACTTGGTACTAAATTCTTCGATCTGCCACTGTGTCGCATGTCTTCTCTTAACGCTTCTCCGGATCTCTTCGGTGACACTCTTCTGCCTTTATTATCTGCCCTTGCAAAATACGCCGATTTATTTGCACAACACGCCGCAGACTGTCCACGAGAACCGTATCTACAGCCTGAAGATCCATTGTGGTAACGATTACCCCGAAAAGCCACCCACCGTTCACTTCCCTCTCTCGTGTAAACCTTCCTTTTGTATCTCAGATCGATGGCAAGATTGATCCTATGAAGCTCAATGTGCTCTCTCAGTGGGGGCGGGACAGTAGTATCGAGACCATCCTCGTTGGTGTCAGGAGGTATGCACCTATCCTTTGTTATCTTGATTTCTCTTATCAAGAATTTGTGATCATGTTACTGATGTCCTGCCTGCGCAGGGAGATGGCGACAGCCAACAATCGGAAGCTTCTCCAGCCTCCAGAAGGGAGTACCTTCTAGAGTCACTTTTATCATTCGAAGATGGACTATCAGCTGGTGGCTTGCAATGTACAACACAAATTATACAAGACGAAAGTGTACCTCAATGACTCCGAGGCATTAATATTTGCTAACGGGGCAATATATGACATGTCAGATCTAAGTTTGTCGAACCCTCTCACACTTTCATACACCGCTGCCAGTGTTCCTTCTTATCTCGAGTGGCTTCTATTAGAAGTATCGGTATGCGTCTTCGAGTTCGCCCATCCCCATCCACAGGATATCGAGAAAGAGCACGCAACATCAAGTTAGTATTCTCACTGTTCAGGCAAAAGGGCAATTAGATCTCAGTCTGCGTACTACACGCTGGTCTACTAGCGGGTATTAGAAATACCCTGTCAAATATGACATGAGCACTGCTTAGATATACCCGTTCTCTCCCCCAACAAAAACGTACATAGTAAGCTGCTGTATCTTTAGTGTCCTCTGCCGTCAACTGGAACGTTTTATCAGGAGCTATATCTTTGGCTTGTGCAATGACATTACGATCTGATGCAATTCTCTCGTATTATCCCATCGGTGCTGTGTCCAAGACGATGTATTGCAAAAACACGTGAAAACAAGCTCAATCTCTCCAGGAGACACTGAGCGATTTGCGTGGAGACTCCGGCCCGGATCGCCGTCAGGATCTGGCAGGCAACCCAAGGAGATCAGAAATGTTGCATGATCCTGACCATGGCGCTACGTTAGTTAGTGGGATATTAGATCCCCTGGTGGCAGAGCGTCAGAGCAAGAAGTGACTAGAATTGGGCCATTCCTTGCGCTTATTGAACAGAGACCAATTGGGGACTTTAAGTTTACGCGTACATGCAACCAGCGACACTGCAGCAGGGCATTCAAGAATTCAAGTTGGCAGAAAAGTGGACGTGCATTACTCATTCGCATATGCTAGACATTATGCCTAACTATTATAGTGCGGTGCACAGGTAGGTGCAGGTGCACTGGCAGGCTGTCTGAAAAACAACCGCGTGTAACAAGGCTAAGCAGCCTGATTGAAGTATGCATATGAAACACGGGCGCCATTATACATACTTCGCAGTGACTCGACGTCGGGGAGTAAGAAAAAAACGAAATTGCAGGAAGAAATTTCAAATAGTTGACCGTCGATAGCTTATGCATTGGGTCCTGCCGGAGCTGGGTAGATCATGATGATATTGAGTACTCGATGATGAGCCCAGAGAAACTGAAGCTTTCCCGAGCAATAGGAAATACGCCATGGATTGGAGCAAGAAACCCGTGAGTAGACAGTACGGTCACAGCCGGCCCGATCATCATGATCTGCCAAATTTGAAACTCCTCGCTTCGCCTGCTGGTGGCACGCCCAAGATCGACCACCGAGTCGGGCCAGACTCGATGATCAAAGCAATTACCAGCCTAGGGGGAACTAGGAATGCACATGTATCTCAAAACGCTCTTCCGAAACCTCGCACAACGTTCTTCAGTTCACACAATAGAGCGGCCATGTAGCTCGAGAGGAACTTGACAAGAATTTTGAGGAAATGGGTTGGAGATTCTCTGAGGAGGGAAATCATTAGGTTAGTGCATGTAAAGAAACCTGATCTGAAAGACTGTGGAAAAGTGCTTCCAAGGTGTGTAAATCCATCATCGGGTCCTTTGAGAATCAGCTGAGCTCAACTGGCGAACTTGCAGTCACGTCCAATTATATCCTCCCCAGCTTTTCTTATGCATCGAGGAACAGCACACCCACACCCACTTACGCATCCTTCCATGACTATAAAAAGACTTTGCTCAACTATGTCGTTTAATCTCATCCTTGCGATCGAGGTCCAGCATCATGTGGGCCTTTATGTCGCTCCTACTTACAGGTGTCGCCCAAGCAGCTATCCCTAATGCCATGCTTCGTGGCATGCATTCTCTCCCAAAACTCTCTGTGTCTGAACGTTCCCGCACTTCATTGAATGGCACAGCGCTCCCACCCATTACGACCGTTTATCACTTTGACCAGCTCATAGACCACAATGACGCAGGGCTCGGAACTTTCCAGCAGCGGTACTGGATGAACTGGGAGTTCTATGAGCCTGGTATGTTGAGAAGATGGAGGTGTGCTCGATGTTAATGCGATGTATTGAAGGTGGACCCATTGTCTTGATGACGCCTGGAGAAGGTAACGCAGATGGTGAGTACTATGTTACCCATTTTGTGCCTTTCTCTCAAGCACTTGATTTTCATCAGGCTACGAGGCCTACACTACCAATGAGACCATCAACGGTCTTATTACTCAACAACAGAATGGTGCAGCCATCATCATCGAACACCGTTTCTTTGGTTATTCCAATCCATACAATAACCTCACGTCACAATCTCTCGCGCTCCTCACCATCCAGCAGGCCATTGATGATCTCGTGTATTTTGCGACCACAGCCAACCTTCCCATGCCTGGGGGTGATGCTGTAAAGCCAGGTCAAGCGCCGTGGATACTGATCGGAGGAAGCTATTCAGGGGCCCTCACGAGTTGGACAATGGTCAAGTGAGCCGAGAAATAACTCTGTTGTTTCAGTATATTGATCGACACAAAGCAAACCGGGAATTTTCTGGGCTGGATATGCATCTTCTGGCGTCGTAGAGGCAATCACGCAAGTCGCTTTGATGCAATCGGTGCTCATTTCTTTGTTGATGATTCTCCTTACTTTGTCAACCAAAACAGCGACTATTATGATTATTTCACCCCCGATTCGCGAGCACATGCCACAGAATTGTTCCTCTGACGTGGAAGCAGTGATCTCCTACCTGGATGACATGTACGCGGTTAGCGACACCGCTGGAATACAGACGCTCAAGGAGACATTTGGCCTCGGCGATATTGTACACGTAGTGGATTTCGCCGCTGCACGTGAGTCGTCTTCTTTGTCTATGACAGAGGACGCAGGTTTTGTTACCTTATTACCCTAACTGACCCTGCTCGGACCAACAGTTCAGTCCAACCTGTTCGATTGGCAATCTTTGCAGCCTGACGTCGGCCCAGGAGCAATATTCTTCGAGTTCTGCGATGCACTTGAAGTCAAGGATGGCGTGAGCGCCGGACCGCAGGGATGGGGACTTGATAATGCTATCTACTCTTGGGGTAACTTCTGGAATACCACATACTACAACAACGGTGGGCGGTCCCCCTGATTTCTGATTGACGTGGCTAAACTTGATAGTAAAGTCTGTGGAGACGAGAATGCTGAGTACGTATCTTTGGGACATAGGCGTCCGGATTGGCTGACGGTGAAATTAGAACCTGTCTTGGGACGTATAACACGAGCCAGCCATACTGGACTAATGTCACCGTGAATAATGCAAACAGGTCGTGGTTCTGGATGGTGTAGGTATTCACATTCGCTTTAATGTCCACGTTGACAGTCATTCCAGGTGCAACCAAGTCGGATGGTATCAGGTTGGCCCTCCCGAGTGCGAGCCTGCCATCGTGAGCCGCATCCTCCAACCTACTTACGACCAGGTAAGTACAATATGACTTGAAAGATGACCATTAGTTGACATCATCATCAGCGTCAATGCGTCAACATGTTCCCTGAAGCATTCACCTGTCCACCTCAGCCTACTACGGCAGAGACGAACGCAATGTACGCTGGTTGGGACGTGGATATCCCACGTCTCTTCTTCGCTAATGGCCTGCGTGACCCTTGGCGCGAGGCAACTGTCTCTGCTTATGGGCTCGATAAGCCCAACACTACCAGCAGGCCAATCTATGAAGGCAATGGGTTCCACTGTACGGAGTTGATGGTACGGAATGGCATTGTAGACACGACAGTCGCGGCCGTGCAGGAAGCAGGACTGATGTACATGAAGGAGTGGCTTGCTGAGTGGAAACCTTCTGTTTGATGGCTCGCCATAGATCTCATGGACGGGTGGGTGTTTGGTCGTAACTTATACATTCTAGGTTATGATGAACGTCTGGTGCTGCCAGTGATTCCTTCCGAAGAATGAGAATGCGACACTCTTCACATCGAAAGTCTCAATTAATTGGTTTTATTTATTTTCTGTGTTACATATACGCCTCCAGAGAAAGTGGGTAGCCTGAGCTCTGCGCCAACTACAGGAAATGTCTATTGATTTGGATTTCGAATCCACGGTGAATGACACATTGCTCTGTATGTCGCAAATTAAATCATATATTGATTAGTGGGATGGATTCTAGGTGATGGTTTGTGGTTCTGTTGTGAGCTAGTATACAATGCAGATAGTATGAAGATGGATTTATGTATACGGGTACTGTTTGTTTCTCAAAGATCTCCGCTCAACTAAAATACGTGCAGTTACATGATCTCTAGTCTCCTGATGTTCATCATGTCGCCAACAGACGCCATGTCTTTAACTTGCGCGATAATGTTACGATCTGACGCGATTCTCTTGTATTCTCCGCCGCGCTGTCGCGCCAGCAAAAATGCGCCAAACGGCTGTCCAAGGTGAACAATCAATCGCAATGCCCGCGAGTGAGACTCCGAATGAACCGGCTCATTTTCTGAAGGGGGCAGCGTAGATTCGGACACGGACAAATCTTCCACGCTCTCCGTATCGTCTGCAGGGTCAGGCAGCTCAAGGAGATGACGGGTCCATGTGCGGACAAGCAACAACGTGCGCCAAGCTGGCAACGGCAGTGTCCGCGAGAATTGAGGCAGCTTGTCTTCCGTGGTTATATCTAGGTCATGAAGCCCATCTGCCTTGACTCCGTACGTGCAACGTCTCTCCTTGTTTTGGCCAGGCTTCCGCCTGACTTCTGTGACGGGAAACACAATGCAAGGCAGATGCAACCGGCGGTGTGCGAACCGTGGAGCGCTCAGGCAGTCGAGTGTCTGATACAACCTCGAAGCCGAGTCTAGAGCAACTGCGCATCGTAGAGAAGAGACTGATGACTGAATGTCTTCTTCTGATAGAGATGGCAGCTCGCATGGGGGAGCTTTGTACGAAGTGATGTCGGCTGGTAGACAGCTATTGAACGTCGATGATTTCCCGACCCAGTCTAGTGCAGTGATATCGCCTGACTGTGCTATGACCTTCCGGATAAGCCGCCCAAGCGCGTATTGTTTCTTCTCGCCATAATCCACACGTAGGCGAACGCCGAAGACACCGGATAATGAGTAAGCGATGTCTTCCTGCAATGTTGTGACACGCGTCGACGCCCACTGGAGTGTCTCTCTGGCGCATTTCATCCCGGGACGGAAGGCCACAATGGCTTCTCGATCTATGCCTGTCGCACACTCCAACTCCTGCATGATCGCGACGGACTCCTTATGATTGGGGAGAGCGATCGTCGAGGTATAGAGTCCAATCTTTCTGATAAAAGAGAATGACTTTGGAAGCGAGGAGTTCTTGAGCTGTCCATCCGCGTGTGTTCCAAGCGCTATTTGTCAATGCGCCGGACTTCGACGAGGGTGGGACATCTGACAGGTAGATGATCGTAAGCGCCGAGTGTTGATACCAGGCAAACATGGAGATGATTGCTTCTTGGCGCTCGACACTATTGGTCTTGTCGATGCAGCACGTATCGCTCCATGCCCAGCGATATCCCGCACGGCGAGCGATTTTGCAGAATGATTGCAACTTCACCATGCTGCCAATTGGATTCAGCTCGTACAAGACCTTGTCCTGAATATCCTGCAGCAGCGGGCTCCTTCCTTTCCCACCTGTGTGATAACATGGCATAACGGAAGTACGCCGCGACTGTTTCTTTGATGCGTTTCATTCTGAAGTCTGTATGCGTGATTGTTGATGACACAAGCTCCTTGTACTCTACACTCGTTTTGAAGGCGCTTATCTGCGCCTCTCGGTCACATAATAGTCCGGTGGTGGTGTCGAGTACACGAAATGGAGCGTTTTCCAGATGAGCATCAATGACCATTCGAATGTCACGTGCTGCTTCAGATGGATTAAGATACTGCTGACGCAGCTCTGCAAAAAGAGTTAAGCATGTCGACACTTGCATTATTGGGAACTTACGTTGGGCCGGAACGTCGGCGGCATCGTCCAATTTGGACATCACACTTTGGAAGGCCTGGATCGCTTCATCATAGCGTTGTGCACCATGAAGCGCTGTGTGCTTTAAATTGTATCCAAGATGAGATGAAGGGTTGAGTTCGATGACCTAAGTATTACCGCAATAAGCATCGATTATGAAATGATAAATGTCAATGCCATCGCACCTTTTGCGCATCGTAAAGTGCTTCGATCCATAACATTTTTCCCGATTTGGCCTTACTGCGCTTTGCGAAGATGGTATCAGATGCAGAACCCAGCTCGATCGCTGCTGAGTATAGGTCAATAGCTCTGTCATAATCGCTTGCAGCGAAGGCAACATCTCCGTTGGCAGCACAGAGCTCGCTGCATTTTTGCTTGAAAACTGAATGAGATACAGGTGAGGATGGTGAAATAGGTGATATGACTGAAGACTTGCCGGTAGACCAATCAAGGGAGTCGGCCTTCGCAGTTACATCACCTACATGCATCATATGCTGATACGATCCGATGGCTTCCCACAGTCTACCCATCTGAAGGAGTGCATGGCAACGTTTTTGGTTTGCAGTCATCCACAATGACGCAAGGTCCCACCCAAACAGCTGCAACATAGCGCCAAGTTGAACATGAAAAGATTTTCGGTTGCATATCAACGTACCACCACAAAGTCGTCATATCTAGAATGAATGGCCGATCGAGATGAGAAATGTTCATCTTGACAACCGCAGTGAAGTGGTCAGCAGCTTCATTGTGACGCCCACCATCTAAGGCATTGATTACCAGTTGGACTCGTAAGTACGCCTGATGTCCAGATAATCAGTGTCGATATACAAGCTAAGGCATCACCGAGTCTCACTTCTACAATACGACATGCAAGGATATCGTTCCGGCAAGTGGCAGCGAGCTCTTGTACACGTATAATTGCTTCCTCATGCTGACCTGCATTGAAGATTGCGATAGCCTGAAAACCATGAAGACAGGAGTATGTCGGAATAATTTAACGTGCCTTGATCAAGAGAAGAAAAATCACAATCTTTGAATCTTCGTTCGCGAACGTGAATGCGAGATCAAATGCTTGGATCGAATCCCGGATGTTCCCTTTCCCGCCGAGGGCGATGCCCTTGGAGATACAGCCTGTCAAGGAGGGTTTGAATGCTGATGGACTATGTCGTGATGAGAGTTAGCCTCTCATAATGATCTGTGGTGGGTCAGTATATCTCACCTTGATCGCATCCTGGAGCGCATGGTCCCAGTGGTGCTTACGTGCCATAACAAACGAGCGATTAGCATACGAGGCGTACTTGTTGGCATTGGCATTGATATCTTGTGTGAGAAGTTTTTCAGCAGTAGACAAGTCCCCCGCGATGCATGCATTGCGGGCGGGCGTGTCAATGGCGAGGATCTGGCACATGAAGCATGCTCAAATTGCATTTTCAGAGTAAAACATGCAGACGTGCCCTAAAATCAGAGTCTTGAGCCTTGAAATAAAAAAGACAAGATATGAGATGGGGCATGGACGAGAAAACAACGGAAAAATACCTTTGGTGCCGGTGCATTGAGAACTTTCTCTGGTAAAGCATCCTTGGGTACTGCCTGCTCTGATATCATCATATCAATACCATCGAGGATGTGCTTGTCGTCCATGGAGAAAGTGACGCAGTCCGTCAAGTGTGGGTGTTGGAAAATGGCGATGGTCTGTCGATCTGAGAGCTGACAGAAGTGAACATGCGTGTCCTCAGATGCGGAAACGACAGGTATGCCAGTGGGATGAATGGCAATGACATTGATGTCGTTAGCACGACCTGTCCAGCAAGAGGGTTCACCGACCTGCTGCCAGCTCAATGCATCCCGCTCCCGTATGGTCGGATCCCCATTGCTAGCTGAGAGTTGGCATGAGATAGCACGGTTATTGTGTGCACAAGGCGATGGTGCAGTCGGGAGGTACCACAAGTGAAGGGGATATCTGAGCGGTTCCCCATTGAAACCTTGGGTCAAGACAATGCTTTCCACTTGGCCATCCGAAAAATGTCCACTGACGAGAGGTTGGGGGCGCATACCCTGCGACGGGACTTTCGACAGATGACACTTGACCGTAATGATATTTGGACGCTCTGCAATTCATGAGTATGGCTGTAATGAGACAATCCGCCGAAGATTCACCTTCTTTGGGTGAGAAGAGGACAGCAGAACCCGTGATAACTTGCTTCTCACCAGCTGATGGTGTGGTAAAATCTGGGGTATGAGTTGCCAAAACACATTCTTTTTGGCGGCGTGGCCAATCCTGAAGATTGTCACTGAGGGCGTCCATCACGCGACCGTCGTAAAAGACTTACGCTTTGGAGGTGTTCGGAAGTTTGGCAGCAGTTACACCGCATCGAAGTGGGCCTGCAGCACACCTGCAAGGGTACTAGGGATAGGGGGAAAACAAGATTAAGATGAGTCCGTAGGAGATAAAACAGTGGTTCGTTATGGAGCTCATGGCGAGTCCGTTGAGCCTAAATATGGCTGGAGTGCGCTTAGGTTACAAGGTTTAGGAACTTTAGGTCGACTTAGATTCCCCTCACTGAATCACGGTATCTGTGTGAGAGAGGTGAAGGCTATTAAGCCCGCATGAAGAAACGTGAGTTGTGCGGGATGACGGGATCGGAGTTTGAGGCTTTGAGGAGAAATCATAGTTTAAGGCCTGAAGGCCTGATGAGGCGATGTTCGGATCCAGGCACTGTCAATCTGCAGACTGTGCCAGTTGTAGGCTGAGCTAAACGGGATGAAAAGACGAATCGATGGGTAATGCACATGTCCTGTATCCGCATTGATCCCGCTCTCTAGTTTGGTTCCCGTTGTGAATTATAGCCTGCTTCAGAATCTTAGCATGAAAGAAACGACTTGGGATCGGAGTTTAAGATTTGAAATTAATCGATTATGTAATCATTAATCAGGAGGATCCAGGCACTTTACCACGGTAGCTTTCCAAGAGGACGGCCGGCTGCTCCCTGTACTGCATGTCCACCGGTAGCGCCCCATATGCCCTCCAAATGACTCATCCTATGGTCCTAAATGGTTCGCCCCACACATCTGTAGAACAATCGGTAGCGCCCCGAGAGGCCCTGGATCCCGGTTGCTAGACAGCCTGACGACAAACTTGAACCTCCGACTAACATTTGGTTTCCCTAAACGAGCATGGTTGACTGCGGTCCGACTGTTGAACCGGTCCATTCGGAATCGCTATGTACATTGAGTAACTGCAACTTCCCTGCGAAGCAGTCACTAGTACTGTCCGCATTGAATGCTGGACGACACCGTCACTGATTCCGAAAGACTGCCAAAAAAACTCGACGGTCGATGAGGAGCCGGTCGGTGTTCCAAGGAGAAACCCGTCGTTGTAGATGCACCTCCCTCTGCGGTTGCCGCAGTCCGAAGTATAGCTGATACAGATGAAGCTAGGCCTGCGTCTGCTTTTCCCTTCGAAATAGAGGGAGAACCGCTTCTGACGTGTCTCATATTTCTCAGTCAGAAGTTCAGGACACAGACACAGTCGTGGAAGCTCCTCTTCCTTCGAAACAAGTACCGCCAACACCGCCAACAAAGAGTCTACGGCTGCAGCTAGCCAGAGGCTCCACGGAAGTTCATCAACCTCGTCCTGCGACGCCAAGCACACCTGCAAAAGTAAATGGCCACGACGAGCTCCGACCTCAAATGCCATCTAGTGCTCATAGTTCATCATCCGCTTCGTCTCACAAACGTTCCATTACGATTTTCAAGGGTTACACTGTTTCTGTAGTTCTCATTTTTTTCTGCCTTAGAGATCATTCTGGCTTCGAAGTAGGCCAAACGATCCACACCTCTTCGCGAGGGCGCACACAATGCCTTGGAGATGGTACGTGTCGGTCAAGGTGGCAATCGTCCACGTGAAAATTTTGAGCCTCTACGGCTGGCATGCGAGACGCGCAGCGAGAAACTCATGATAGCGAGTCTGAACTGTATACCCAAGCTCATCTACTACTCGTTCTTTACGGAGCCATCATCTGGGCACAAAACTCATTTTGGCACTGCAGGAAGTCTACAGGACATTTATATGTACGCTTGCCAGTATCAAGGAACTTATATACAATCTTGGAACATCCGCGCTCAGTGTCTCAGACAGCCGGTATCAGACTCTAAAACCGTGGAACTGCAAATTTTTATTTTACGCACTTTTAAAACATAAATTTATCTTTCTCTATAGGGAGGAAACAGCTGGTATGGCGAGATCATTGCATCACAGTTCTTTGTACAGCCTCACAAAAAGCAGAACCGATGTACCTAGACTAGAATCCAGTAGCACGAACTTGTTGCGGAAACTTTCCTTTTTGGTATGTTCCTGCAGTTTTGTTGCGAGCTTGTGGATCTTGATTTTAGTGTCCGAAAATCGCTCATATTGGGTTAGTATCGAGCCACGTAGCTTAGCCTTCACCGTGGTCCGGACTCCATGGTCCGTGGATAACAGGAGGAACATCATGTGCGCTACTTGAAAGCTGGCTTGCAGTGCCTGGATCCGAGCATCACCTCAATCCTGACAGGTCTGAAGCTTCAAGGTCCGAGATATTTTCGTACGCGAATCAAAATCCTGGGCCTATCGTATGCTCGCTCGAAGAAGCTGTTGAGTCTCGAAAATCTCTTGCTGTGCTTGTGCTTTCCAGGGCATGCAGCACTTTCCATGAGCCTGCAATGGAAATTTGCTATGGGCTGAGTTGAACGGTGGAGTAAGGCTCGGAACCTTCCAGCAGCGGTACTGGATGAACTGGGAGTTCTATAAGCCTGGTATGTTGATGCAACGTATCTCCTTGTTTTGGCCAGGCTTCCGCCTGACTTCCGTAACTGGGAACACAATGCAAGGCAGATGCAAGGTACTCCTAGGAATAGGGAATGACAAGATTAAGTCTGTAGGAGATATCATGAAATAGTGACTGGTTATGGAGCTCATGGCGAGTCCCTTGGGCCTAAATATGGCTGGAGCGCGCTTAGGTTATAAGGTTTAAGTCGACAGGTACCCCTCACAATGGTTTCCGCGTGAGAGAGGTGCACCGCCGCCGACCGGTGAAGCCTGCATGAAGAAACGACGTTGAGTTGTTCGGGATCTGAGTTTGAGATTTGACTCATAGAGCGTGTGATTTAGGTCTATGTTAGCGCTGACTGGTCGACCACGTAATACTGCAACGTAGGCCGCCAAATACATGTCATCAATGATCATCACACGTTCTCCAAACACAACGTTCTCCTTCGGTTTCACTCACAGTAAGTCTACGGATAAAGTGTCTTGTCGTACGATTCAGTGACCATTCGTCGTTTATCGGGGGAGACTGTGACGAGCTGCAACTGTGGTTACAGCGTCGTCATGACCTTCAAACGTCGGACGAGGGGTGGTCACTAGATTGATGCGGCCACAATGAGTCATCCGCAGTTTGTGCTAGATTTCGAATCTTGATGGAGTTCTTTGTTGAGTACGGTCCAAGTGAACTTGCTCTAGGGAAGGTAGGCGTCTTGCTTCTAGCTGCGGTAGTGTATGTGTTCGTCCTTCACAACATCAAACTGATTCGTGTCCCATTTAGACGCTCAGGAGGCTGTTCGCATGATGACGGTCCTGTTATCATACACGTCTTCCTCGACAAAATGACTTTCTCTAGATGACATCCTTTCCTGATTCACCGCCCCGCCTGGATTTGACATGATGCAGTCATTATGTATTGGCAACGGCCTAACACCAGTGCCGCAAGTGCTACTATTACTCCAGCACAGTATCACCATTTGATATAGTCCCCCTGGTCCGTGACTACTCGCAGGTTTCTCCGCGATATCTATGCCATGGAAACAGCTTTATAAATTACAGAGGTAGTATCATGCCATGGATCCTTATTGTGTATTATTACTCGTGAACAGCGCACCGAGCTTGATGGGGTTCTTTCTCGACAAACTGGGAAGACCCTTGGCAGCCTTTGGATCATGTCTGAAGGAATCTTAAGTGTTCTGAGGCGCCCTCCCAGCTGGGCCTAGATTTTGTAGGACCTGACATGACGAAGTCCCTGATATACAGGCGGGTGTTGTATTGGCACGATGTGAAGCTCTCTACTGATAAATTCCTGGTGTATTGATCCTTCGTTATCAGCACCTCACGATGGGCTGTAGCCTGTAGAAGACGAGGACGGTGAGAATTTACTCGCTACGCCTTCTGACTACGACGCAAAATCTATTCTTTCAACCGGGGAGGTTGTGTACTCTATAGGATTACTATCCAGACAAACCGGACATCCTCGTCCATGTCCACTTTTTCGACTTCGCGATTGCTGCTGTGTCAAACAGCAGTGCAACGACTGCCATCACATTCTACTTCATCCAACAAGCTCTGTGCCTCTCACAGCCGAACCCATGCGAATTTTCCTTATGGCACGCCCGATACTGTGGGGAATAAGCACCAAGTGGGAGGAGGTACTTACCATCCTTCGCGCTGCCATACTAGTAAAAATCGGATCGACTTAAGAAACGTAACAGCGAGCACAATGACGCTCTGACGTTACGTTTTTGCACATCTTCGAAGTTCTACTTGTCCTTCTTCACGTTCTCCTCACCTGTCAATTGCATTTCCAGTCCTTTCTTCCTGTGGTGTTCCCAGTTTACGGTCACAGTGCCCAGGGTCACCAAAATTGCATATTTACGGAACGCCGACCTGCCAGCCAACTCAAGTCAGCCGACAGTGAAACTTATGAGGACTTGAAAAAAAAAAACCATGCACTCTGCCCCGGGCTAATTCTCCTGCAGTACCAAAGTGGCGAAATGAGCAACTTCTATCCGCTGTATTAAGACGATTCCCAGGCTTTCCCAGGGCGCTGGCGCTTCCCCATCAATATCCATTCAAGCGGGGAACTTCAATGTAAAATTTTCATCAGCAGGCTATAATTGCACGTACGATTTACCAACATCCTGGAATCTATGACGAGTCTTTGACCAACTTCAATCCAGGTACATTGGTCCGCTGAGCAGCCTGGTTACCCTACACCTCCCGACGGGATGGCCACATATAAGATGCCCCTCCCCAGCCAACATGATGTCGTGTAGTCCAACCCTTGCGATCAAGATGTGGGCCCTCACATTGCTGCTACTTGCGGGCGTCGCCCGAGCAGCTATTCCTCATGCCATGCAGTCTCTCCAAAAATTTCCAGTGCCGGAACGTTCTATCACTTCGCCGAATGGCACAGCACTCCCAAACATTACCACCGTCTATTACTTCGACCAGCTCATCGACCACAATAATCCAGGCCTTGGAACCTTCCAGCAGCGATACTGGATGAACTGGGAGTTTTATGAGCCTGGTATGTCGTGGGGATCGAGATGCGCTTCAAGTGATATTGACGTGTGAAATCAAGGCGGTCCCATTATATTGATGACGCCTGGAGAAGATAACGCAGATGGTTGGTTTTACTATAATCGATTTCTTGCCTTTCTCTCAAAGTACTTGATTTCAGGCTACGGAGTATACGTTACCAATTACAGCATCAATGGTCTCATTGCTCAGCAACAAAATGGCGCAGCCATCCTCATCGAACACCGTTTCTTTGGTGATTCCAATCCATACGACAACCTCACGTCACAATCTCTCTCGCTCCTCACCATCCAGCAGGCCATTGATGATCTCGTGTATTTTGCGACCACAGCCGACCTTCCCATGTCTGGGGGTGATGCTGTGAAACCAGGTCAGGCGCCATGGATATTGATTGGAGGAAGCTACTCGGGAGCCCTTACCAGTTATACGATGGTCAAGTGAGTGCCACATACAGATCCCGTTTTTTCAGCATAGTGATCGACTCAAAGCAAACCGGGAGTTTTCTGGGCCGGATATTTATCTTCGGCTACCGTGGAAACGATCACGTATGTCACTTTATTGCAACCATTGCTGACTTCTATTGATGTGATGAATTGCTTCTCCCTTCCTTCATAATCACCTCTGACATGGATGAATATGCAAAAAAATGTGGTCGCTTATTGAATTCCGGCCTCCTCTTAACCGAGATTAGTGACTATTATGATTATTTCACCCCTATTCGCGAGTACATGCCGCAGAACTGTTCTTCTGATATACAGGCAGTGATCGCCTACCTGGATAGCATGTACGTGGCTAACGACACAGCCGGAATCCAGATGCTCCAGGAGGCATTTGGCCTTGGCAGTCTCGATCATGTAGGCGATTTCGCCGCCGCACGTGAGTCGTCCTTGTGCTTCGTTCAGTTTTAAATGCTTGCGCAGAACGTACATCTGCACACCCTTTGATTCGTGCAACATCTTTCAGTTTGTTTTGCCATCAGCTGATTATCCTCATGTCACGTCACCCCTCTGGGCACGAATTCGTACATTTGTCCTTGGACGATGTTCCGTTTCTCAATTTGGCTTACTCTCTTTTATCGTAACTGACTCTGCTCGGACCAATAGTGGAATACAACCTATGGGATTGGCAATCTATGCAACCTGATGATGGCCCAGGATCAATGTTCTATCAGTTCTGTGATGCGCTCGAAGTCAAGGACGGTGTCAATGCCGGGCCTGACGGGTGGGGACTTGAGAATGCTATTAACTCTTGGGGCAACTTTTGGAACACTACATACTACGAATATAGTACGTGGTCCGTTTGAATTTTGATTCACATGGCTAATCTGGATGGTGAAGCCTGTCAGGATCAAGATGCTGAGTACGTGTTCTTGGGACGTGATGTCGTTCGCACTTCCTGACGGTGAAGCTAGGGACTGCATTGGGTCGTTTGATCCGACTATCAGCTACTGGACTAATGTTACCGTGGATAATCCAGGCAGGTCGTGGTTTTGGATGGTGTATGCATTCTCATTCGCACCAATATCTAATCTGACAATCTTGCTAGATGCAACCAAATCGGTTTCTACCAGGTTGGTCCCCCTGAAGGCCAACCTGCGATCGTGAGCCGTATCCTCCAGCCCAGTTTTGTAGAGGTACGTAGATTTGATCTAACAAATGAATATTCATCAACATAATCATCAGCGCCAATGTGTTAACATGTTCCCTCAAGCCTTCACGTCTCCGCCTGATACGCCCACGGCAGAGACAAACGCAATGTACGCTGGTTGGAACGTGAATGTCCCGCGTCTCTTCTTCGCCAACGGCTGGCGCGATCCTTGGCGCGGGGGAACTGTGTCTGCTGATGGGCTGAATAAGCCTAACACTACTAGCATGCCGATCTATATGAGCGATGGATTCCACACCTCGGACATGATGACGGATAATGGCATTGCAGATCCGACTATCGCGGTCGTGCAGAATGCAGGATTAATGTACATGAAGGAGTGGCTTGCTGAGTGGAAGCCTTCTACGTAGTAAAGGTCGAGTTGTCGAGACTTGTGCACAGGCAAGTTATCTATCCATAATTCATCATTCTATACGTCTCAGGGGCAATGGATGGTTCGTGGTTCCTTCTTCCACTCAGGAACCAGCATCCGTGGTATTCGAAAGCCTTGATTTATATTTTTCGGTGATACACCTGTAGCTACAGCGTCTGTATGAGTTGCCTGAGTTATAGGCTGATATTTTTCTGATAGGTCCTTCATTGAGAATTATAATTACAGTGCCAGAGGCGCTCGACCCAGAGGAAATGCCGAAAGTCGTGAGTTTGCGACCGTGATCTTGACATTTTGACTGGCCGAGTTTTTAGCGATGTGACGTGCGCAATGAAAGGCGCGTTGCAACTTCGACTGAAGATGCACAACACTCCGGGCCGGTCAAAACCGGTCCTTAGGACCAAGTTACCAAGTGAGTTTTGTTGACACCCGGGTGCAGTTACTTTTACTATACCGTTTGACGTTTACCCTTCTTGAGCTTGATCGCTGAACTTCGCGAGTGCACTGATTGGCGAAAAGGACTCAGGAGTCTAATATTATTATACTTTAGCATCATAGGGCCAGTCTGAAGCTTCGGCAGCTGGGTTCGAGCGGAGTTGCAATATTAGTGCTTCCCGCCCTTCCGTCCGCCGCCTGCTTCTCAGGCTGTACCCTTGAGCCACGCTGCCTATCTGACCAACTTGTGAGTTACATTTATTTATTTATTCTGCTGTTTTGTTGCACTAATGACATTCAGCGGAAAGCCCGCCACACTGTCCTGATTTCCAACACCTCCTGTTCTCGTGCCTGCTACCTCTCCCCTGCCGCACCTGCCGCCCTCTTACTTCCACTGAGTGTTCTCCTTCACTAATTGAATCATCGAGCGCCTTTTCTCGTGTACTCTCGTACCGTCTTACATGAACCCCCCCCCCCCCCCACTGCACCTCGTGCTTGGTACCACCCTTGTGCATGTTCTGCACCCTTGTATGCTTATGTCTCGACTGACTCCGGGTCTGTGTGACGTCTTTCAGGAGTTTCCGGCCAGCGACCATCTAGTACTCTAAATCCACCAACAACAACTGGGTCGTGCCCACCATGTGACCAGCCAACGGAAGTTGGCACCCTCTTTGACGTCTTATGAACACACCACGAGCTTGCACGGATGTCGCTTCTCGACCTTAAGTACTTGATTCATCATCGTACACACTTACTCAAGGATGATATCTGCCTGCCGCAACCTCGTATAGTGCCTGTGAACATCGTTCCCGACTTGCTACCGCCAACAATCGTAACCTTTCTCGTTCAGTCATTCGCCATATCATCCCAAGTAGTGCATTATCTATGGGCTGTAACATTTTGCCTGGTGTTGCTTAATTGGGCAGATTACGAGGTGCCGTTTGCCTTCTTCTATGACCCAACGAATGAGATGTAAACACACGTCGATGTGTTTTGTGCGGGTGTGGTATTGATGACCCTTTGCTAGCACGATTGCGGGTTCTGATACAAGGGCAGTAGGTTTCAATGGAGACAAAGTTCGCCAATGAATGAACACAACCATGGTGCTTCCTTTGCTGCGTGTGTACTTAACATATTTGCTCTTTGTTGTGGGCAACGAGTCGATCTTCTGTTGCTTTGACGATGACGAAACAGCTCCTCCATCAATTACAAGTTCCCCCCATGATGACCCTTGCTTGTCGTCGTCGTAAAATAATACGTTTCATCCGGCACTGAATAGAAATCAAATACAATGTCTACTAGAAGCTACAAGGATGATCTACGGACAAATTGAATGATATAAAAGGACCGTGAAGAACAAATCAAATGATAGAAATGATGAGGAATGATGAGGGTAGTGATAGGCTCATTGTGACTTCTTGGACTTCTTGATTTGTGGGCCTCGTGCGGCCCACTGCAGACAAAAGTTCTTCCTGAGCCCTTCTGATTTATGCGGTCTAAAGCTTGTGAGAAGGTGGCGAAAGAGCTGGCGGGTAAGGAAAGGTGGCACAAAGGTAGAGAAAGAGCCAGCGGCCAATGAGAGAGAGACAGCGGGTAACGAGAGATATGGCGGGCGATGACAGAACTGGCGGGATTCCATAATCAGCGGATGATGTAAGACGGCGGCAGACCTCCAATCGGCTGACGCGCGCTGGCCGGAAAAACTTCCGAAAACAAACCTGCACACTGAGACGGTCTGCGTCAAGTCTGTACAGACTCTGACAAACTCCCTAATTCCCTCCGGACTTTCTGAACTTCAGTAACATCTCCCAGTGGGCCGGCGACTGCCAAAAGGGGCTTCCTTCTACTTCTACTTGTGGACGAAGTTGTGGTACTGCTACCTCAAGCTGGTCTTCTCCAAAGCAGCTCACCTAGGAGCCATGCTGGTCATCGTGTGGCGTGTAGTTCTTCTCCCACCTGACGCATGTGCTGCAAGAATCAGATGACCGGTTCTCGCAGGATATTCTTGTGGTCCAGCCGACCTTCTGCCATAGCATTCAAGCGGTGATCGCTAAGTGGTGCTAGCTTCTAAATCTTTGCTGAAGTCCGGCCACCATCAGTATCAAGCATGTAAACATAGTACTTGATCAGAATTTAAACTACGTATTCGTCCCAGCCGTGCGAGTTTAAGGCCGTCGAGCAATCTGCAGCTACGTCCAATTATAATCCTGAGAACTCACCACATGTTGTTACTGAGTCTTGCGAAGCGAAGCAAGTCACTGTAGCACATGTTTCAGAATTCAAATCAGAAGTGTGGTGCCCCGCCGTGGTTATAAAAGGTCTTTCCTCGACCATCATCATGTCGTCGAGTGCCATCCCTGTCATCAAGGTTCGACATGATGTGGGCCCTTGCGTCGCTCCTGCTTGCAGGTCTTGCACGAGCAGCTATCCCGAACGCCATGCTTCGAGGCATGCCTTCTCTCCCAAAGTTCCCAGTGCCGGATCGTTCTATCATTTCGCCGAATGGCACAGCACTCCCACCCATTACAACCGTCTATTACTTTGATCAGCTCATCGACCACAGTAATCCGGACCTCGGGACATTCCAGCAGCGATACTGGATGGACTGGGAGTTTTATGAGCCTGGTATGTTTGAGGTACAGCTTCGAATAACGTTAACCTGATGCATTGAAGGTGGCCCCATCATCTTGATGACGCCTGGAGAAACTGACGCGGATGGTCAGTTTACCATCCTTGATTTGCAACTTTCTCTCAAGCACTTGATTTTTAGGCTACGAGGGCTACCTTACCAATGAAACCATCAATGGTCTCATCGCTCAACAACAAAATGGTGCAACCATCATCATCGAACACCGTTTCTTTGGTTATTCCAATCCATACGACAACCTCACGTCACAATCTCTAGCACTCCTCACCATTCAGCAAGCTATTGATGATCTCGAGTATTTCGCCAACACCGCCGACCTCCCCATGCCCGGGGGTGATGCTGTGAAACCAGGTCAGGCGCCATGGGTACTGATCGGAGGAAGCTACTCGGGGGCCCTCACAGGTTGGACGATGGTCAAGTGAGTAACTTACCAGAAATGAATGTCTATTTCAGTTCATGATTCGCGTAAAGTAAACCGGGACTTTTCTGGGCCGCATATGCATCTTCTGCGGTCGTAGAGGCAATTACGTATGTCACTTTATTGAAATCACCGTTCATGTCCCATTGATGCGATTGTTTCTTCCACTGTTATAATCATTTGAATAAAACTGCATTGCAATGTGGTCATTCATTGAAATGCGGCTTCATTCGACCATAACAGTAACTATTATGGGTATTTCACCCCTATTCGCGAGTACATGCCACAGAACTGTTCCTCTGATGTAGAGGCAGTGATTGCCTACCTGGATGGGATGTACACGGCTAATAACACTACTGGAATCCAGACCCTCAAGGAAGCATTTGGCCTCGGAGATGTTGTACACGTAGACGATTTCGCCAGTGCACGTGAGTCGTCGTTGTCCTTTATTCAGTTTTATGTATTTGCGTAGAACGGGCAGCACGGTCCGAAGGCCTTCTAATCCACGCGCAACATCTATAGTTTATATTGCCTTCACAGCGCGTGGAGTTCTTTTCCATATGCTTACCTCGAACTTTGCTTCTGCGATATTCTTTTTCTTAAACTGTTCTACTGCCTTCTTGATTTGACTGACCATGCTTGGACCAACAGTTCAATACAACCTGTTTGATTGGCAATCTCTGCAGCCTGATGTCGGCCCAGGGGCGATGTTCTTCGAGTTCTGTGATGCACTTGAAGTCAAGGATGGCGTTAGCGCCGGACCTCAGGGATGGGGACTGGATAATGCTATCTACTCTTGGGGTAACTTCTGGAATACTACATACTACGACTATGGTAGGTGATCACCTTGATTTCTGATTGATGTGGCTAAAGTCGGATAAAGTCTGTGGAGACGAGGATGCTGAGTACGTATCCTTGGGATGTACTCGTCCGGATTGGCTGACGGTGAAATTAGAACCTGTCTTGGGACGTATAACACGAGCCAGTCCTACTGGACTAATGTTACCGTGAATGATGCAGAAAGGTCATGGTTTTGGATGGTGTATGTATTCTCATTAGTTCGAATATCCACTCTGATAATTATTCCAGGTGCAATCAAGTCGGATGGTACCAGGTTGGCCCTCCTGAAGGCCAGCCCGCAATTGTGAGCCGCATCCTCCAACCCATTTACGAAGAGGTACGTATATTGGATACGAAACATGAGCATTTTTCAACATAATCTTCAGCGCCAATGCGTGAACATGTTTCCTCAAGCCTTTGCCTATCCACCTCAACCGACTGTCACAGAGACCGACATGATGTATGATGGTTGGAACTTGGCTGTTCCACGTCTCTTCTTTGCCAACGGCCTGCGCGATCCATGGCGCGAAGCGACTGTCTCTGCTGATGGGCTGAATAAACCTAACACCACCAGCATGCCAATCTATGAGGGCGATGGATTCCACTGCTCAGACCTGATCACGGAGAATGGCGTTGTAGACTCGACCATCGCGGTCGTGCAGGAAGCAGGATTGATGTATATGAAGGAGTGGCTTGCTGAGTGGACGCCGTCCGCGTGATAATAGAAATCATTGGGACTTGTGAATAGGCAAGTTGTTTATATTAGTAACTTTATTGTGTCTCAAGACGAATCCCGCTGGTTCCTTCTGACCACTCAGGAACCCGCACCGTATGTGCAGCGTTAACCTTGAGCTCGATATTTCAAGCAGTATTCATCGTCTTTTATAGAAATTCATTTGAGCAAAAACCACATGATCAAGGCCACTACGTTTAGGGAGAAGTAGTCTCCCGTAGGCAGACCCAATAGAAGGAAGACATTCTTTCTGTATGTGGAGAAGCGTCGATGACACAGGCCTCCGAAGGCCCAGGGTACAGCTATTCCGTTTTGTCTGCACTATATGTGATTCAAAAGCAAAGACACTCCTCGTACTCTGTTCCCTCGACGGCCCGGCACCGACTACCTCAGGTACGTATCAATTCGTGTTCATTCATACGGTGGATATCAGTGTGCAGCATTCCCGATCGTAAGCCTCCACATTAATTATAGAAGGATAGGGGAATGAAGTTGTGTTGGGCAAGGTTGTGGTAGGACACATGAAGGGTGTGCGATCAGTTCGTCGTAGAGTGAATGTCGTGACTGATGGCATTCCTCGTGATCAGAAAGAGGCTCAATTCCACAGCATATGTTGTAAGCTGCGAAGCGAATACAAGGATAAAAATCGAACAGCTCAAACTTCCAGTGCACTCTTGGCCTATACGCCCATTGTGTCTTGGTGTCAACAAGTCAGGACTTGTTAACTGAAACGTATCGCCGTTACTAAGTGATGATTTGAGAATTTGCTGTATGAAAGCTGAAACGGAGCTGCATCCAGTAGTTGATTATGTCTTCACCGGCACATGAGACATCGATGGTAATGTCCCACCAGTGACAAATTTGGAAAGACACCAAATGGGTTGAGGGCGCCATACATCTGCCAGAGGGAGGGTGGATTATGACTTGTTCAAGGGACGGCTCGCTATGGGTATGGAACTTGAAGATTGGGAAACAGGTAGGAGACGACTGGCGGGACAGAGAAAGTGAAGTGCACGTATGCGCTAAAGCGTTATCTCCGGATGGGAAGAAAGTGGTTAGCGCGAGTGATGATGGTTATGCCAGAACATTCGGAGTCCTAGACTTTGGTCCTAGAGTGTCAATAAAGTCAAGATCACATTCACAAACTCAAGTTGGAGTAACTTTCGGCATTTCTGGGTCGAGCGCCTCCGGCACTGTAATTATAATTCTCAATGAAGGACCTATCCGAAAAATATTAGCCCAGAACTCGGGCAACTGGATGCTGGTTTCTGAGTGGCAGAAGAAACCGCGAACCGCCCATTGCACCCTGAGACGTATAGAATGATAACTTGCCTGTGCGCAAGTCTCAACAACTCGATCTATTACTACGTAGAAGGCTTCCACTCAGCAAGCCACTTCTTCATGTACATTAATCCTGCTTTTTGCACGACCGCAATAGTCGGATCTGCAATGCCATTATCCATGATCATGTCCGAGGTATGGAATCCATCGCTCATATAGATCGGCATGCTAGTAGTGTTAGGCTTATTCAGCCCATCAGCAGACACGGTTCCCCCGCGCCAAGGATCGCGCAAGCCGTTGGCGAAGAAGAGACGCGGGACATCCACATTCCAACCAGCGTACATTGCGTTTGTCTTTGCCGTGGGTGTATCAGGCGGAGAGGCGAAGACTTGGGGGAACATGTTGACACATTGACGCTGATGGTTATGTTGATGAATATTCATTTGCTAGATCAAATCTACGTACCTCTGAAAAACTGGGCTGGAGGATGCGGCTCACAATCGCAGGTTGGCCTTCAGGGGGGCCAACCTGGTAGAAACCGATTTGGTTGCACCTAGCAAGATTGTCAGATTGGACATTGATGCAAATGAGAATGCGTACACCATCCAAAACCACGATCTGGCTGCGTTATCCACGGTAACATCAGTCCAGTAGGGATCAGTCGGAACAAATGTCCCAAGACAGGTTCTAGCTTCACCGTCAGGAAGTGCGAACAACATCACGTCCCAATAACACGTACTCAACATCTTTATCCTGACAGGCTTTGCCATCCAGATTAGTCATGTCAAATCAAAATGGAACGGACCACCATACTATGTTTGTAGTACGTAGTGTTCCAAAAGTTGCCCCAAGAGTTAATAGCATTCTCGAGTCCCCATCCGTCGGGTCCGGCATTGACACCGTCCTTGACCTCGAGTGCATCACAGAACCGATAGAACATTGATCCTGGGCCGTCATCAGGTTGCACATCTTGCCAATCCCCTAGGTTGGATTGAACTATTGGTCCGGGCAGAGTCAGTTTGACATAAGAAAATAGGCAAAATTGAGAAAAAAAACATCGATCAAGGACAAATGAATTCGTACCCAAACGGGTGGCGCGACATGAATGAAGAAGATAATCAGCTAAAGGCAAAACAAACTGAAAGACCTTGCGCGAATCAGAGAGTGTGCAGATGTCCGTTCTGCGCAAGTATTTAGGACTGAACGAAGAACAAGGACGACTCACGTGCGGTGGCAAAATCGCCTGCATGATTGAGACCGCCGAGGCCAAATGCCTCCTGGAGCGTCTGGATTCCAGCTGTGTCGTTAGCCATGTACATCCTATCCAAGTAGGCGATCACTGCCTGCACGTCAGAAGAACAGTTCTGTGGCATGTACTCGCGAACAGGAGTGAAATACTCATAATAGTCACTGATGTTGGTCCAGAAGAGGCCGGAATTCAATAAATGACCACATTTTTTGCATATTCAGAGGTGATTATAAAGGAAAAGAGAAGCAATTCATCACATCAATAGAAGTCAGCAATGATTGCAATAAAGTGACATACGTGATCGTTTCCACAGCAGCAGAAGATACATATCCAGCCCAGAAAATTCCCGGTTTGCTTTGAGTCGATCATCATGCTGAAAAACGGTATCTGTTTGTGGCACTCACTTGACCATCGTATAACTGGAAAGGGCTCCCGAGTAACTTGCTCCGATCAATATCCATGGCGCCTGACCTGGTTTCACAGCATCACCCCCGGGCATAGGAAGGTCGGCTGTGGTCGCAAAATACACGAGATCATCAATGGCCTGCTGGATGGTGAGGAGCGCGAGAGATTGTGACGTGAGGTTGTCGTATGGATTGGAATCACCAAAGAAACGGTGTTCGATTAGGATGGCTGCACCGTTTTGTTGCTGAGCAATGCGACCATTGATGCTGTAATTGGTAATGAGGACTTCGAGGCCTAAAATGAAGTACTTTGAGAGAAAGGTAAGAAATCGATTATAGTAAAGCCAACCATCTGCGTTCAATTCTCCAGGCGTCATCAATATAATGGGACCACCTTGAATGCGCACGTCAACATCACTTGAAGCGCATCTCGGTCCTCGCGACATACCGGGCTTATAAAACTCCCGGTTCATCCAGTATCGCTGCTGGAAGGTTCCAAGGCCTGGATTATTGTGGTCGATGAGCTGGTCAAAGTAATAGACGGTCGTAATATTTGGGACTCCTGGGAGTGCTGTGACACTCGGCGAAGTGATAGAACGTTGCGGCACTGGAATTTTTGGGAGAGACTGCATACCACGAAGCATTGTATTGGGAATGGCTGCTCGGGCGACAACCGCAAGTAGCAGCAACGTGAGGGCCCACATCTTGATCGCAAGGGTTGGACTACACGACATAATCCTGGCGGGGGAGGGGCGTTTTATATGCAGCCATCCCGTCGCGTCGGGATGTATTGGGTAACCAGGCCGTTCAGCGGCCCAATGTGCTTGGGCTGACTCTTGGTCAAAGAAGGACAAAGACTCGTCACAGATTCACGGATGATGATGAGTTATGAGAAACTACATAAATCGTACCTGCAATTAGCCTGCTGGTGAAATTTTTGCATAAAAGTTCATCGTTTGGATGAATATTGATGGAAAAATGCCAGCGTGCCCTGGGAATCATCTTACTACAGAATTTCGGACAATAGAAAAGTCATCGCAAAATGGACGGAGCACACAAAGCAAGTGTTGTATGCATTGCACTGCTAATCGATGATCATTGGCTGCCTCTTCGGAGGAGATGTAGTATAAGTCACCTTGCTTGCAAGGTCATATGGCATGCGACGAAATCTGACGGACTATGTGCCAATAATAAACAATAATAAACATCAATAAATCATCAGTCTCCCTGTTGAACGCCATCATTGTCATCATCCATCCTGTCGTCGATATTATGAAGCCAGGAGATATCAAACACGATTATTGTGTCTGCGTATATCCAGCTGTCATGGCAAAGTGCAGCTGTGGATGAGCACTAGCACTCAGTTATGCCCTGTGCAGATCCTGCAAAGCTTACGACTCACCACATTCCCCTGCTGCCAGATGCACCTGAGTGACACCTGTTCCCACACTTGTTAGTAACATATATGGTATAACATGTTTGTTACTAATGAGGGGGGGTAAACCTACGCTGCAGTACTTCAGCAATACCCGCAGCACTCAACAGTGACTTCAGGAATATCAAGAGGGCGGGTAAATTAGGAATATAATATAAACAGGCTATTGATTTGTCATCTCCCCCTGGTGGCAGGTACAACATTGCCGCTACGCCTTCTTATGGTTCCCATGCCTCTCTCTTTCACCCTCCACATCATCCTTGACGACATGCTTGCTATCTCGCTCATTCTTGGTCTGATTCTGGCCATTCTTTTTGTTTTTGGGCCCCTGATGGACGTCTGATAACTCTTTCGACATCCTTTGCGTTCTACGGATCTCTTTTCCTTCTCATTGGCCTGGATAATCTCTTGCCAGGAGGCTTCAAGGTATGTTGCCGTCCCTACACCTTCTGACACCTCTAATGCCCCTCTCCTTCACCCTCCACGTCATCCTCGACGACGTGCTTGCTATCCCGCTCATTCCTGGTCCAATTCTGGTCGTTCTTTTTGTTTTCAGGCCCCTGATGGACACCTAGTAGCTCTTTTGACATCCTTTGCCTTCTACAGCTCTCCTTTCCTTCTCATTGGCCTGGATAATCTCTTGCCAGGAGGCTACAAGGTATGTTGCCGTCCCTACACCTTCTGATGCCTCTGATGCCTCTCTCCTTCACCCTCCATTCAACGACATGCTCGCTATATCGCTTGATCTGCCTTCCTTCAATGCTCACTCTCTCGATGGACGTCTGATGTCATTGTTGAAATCCTCTGGTCTCACGCAGGTCCTTTGTCTGCGGCATCATTACTTTGTTGATTGGTCTTTGCTGCTGCTTGCTTTTACTGTTCATGTGACGTGTCCTTGCCCATGTTCCACACTGCCGCTATCATAGTCTTCCTAATGTGATGTGAATTGAATTTTTTTTAATCAAATGAGCTTGATTCATCCTATCCCATCAATGCGTCTAGAAGGCACCTAGTACTGTTACCATCTAGAAGGCACCTAGTCTGAGTCCAAGTCCAAGTCTGAGTCCAAGTTCAAGTCCGAGTCCAAGTCCGAGTCTGAGTCCGAGTCCGAGTCCGAGTCCGAGTCTGAGCCTGAGTCCGAGTCTGAGTCTGAGCCCAAGTCCAAGTTCGAGTCTGAGTTCGAGCTCAACTCATCATCAGTGTTGACAGTGGCTTTGCTCTTGGGTTGTGAAACTCGAGCCCTGGCTTTCCTTTGTACATAAACTTGTTCCCCACATGCATGCCGAGCCCAGTTATCCTTCATCCTCTTGACAAGCTCTTCGTCTGAGAAAGAGACCCACTTGCACAATTTAGACTTGAGAGCATCCAACAAAGCCTGAACCTGGGCTCTTCCACCAACCTTAGAGGAATTTTTCACCCCCCCGGTAAAGGCCATTTAGTTAGCTCAACACCATGACATTCTACTATAGCGCACTCATAGTTGGTGTAATTCATTTTGACTTCGCCTGTCGTGTTCTTCTCCATTAAGATAAATTCTTCAATGAATTATGTTAGTGATGGCACGAGGTGACACCACGAAGCACACACCTAGGTTATCTTGGATAAGCATACAGCATTCACTAATGAGTTTATTGAGCGGCTGTTGACAGTTAAGTGTTACATGTTCATCTTTGGGACAATCAGTAGGCTAAAACATGAAGGCAAAGATAACATACCAAGCTTGGTAATGATGAATGCTTCCAGCTTTCGGTCCAAGATGCTGTGGCTCAATGCCTAGGACATCCAGAACAAACTTTTGAGATTTCTCTGTAAAAAATACCTTCGGTTCTGCAAGATCCTCAATTCTGCCACATACTGCCACATAAAACCCCTCCAGACCAGTGCGTGCATGAAGAGCCATCCACTGAGAATAAATTTCAGTTATATTAGTGTGTCTTGGACAGTAAATCAATAAATGAGAGATGCCACAGATGGCGGAGACAAACAAATATACAAGAGAAGCCACAGAGGGCAACAAATGAATATACAAGAGAAGCCACAGAGGGCAAATGAATATACGAGAGATGCCACACTGGTGGCGAGAGAAGTGAAGGGATAATCAAAATAGCACAACATACCTCATGATCCATGAACGTGAATGCTGCATTCACATCATGTTTGATGGCCTTTGGGTTCACACGTGCAGTATGGTTCTTTGCTTGGTGATCCTCGAGAACACAAGCATTGTAAGCTTGCTTTTCAGCGAAGGTTAGCTTGCGATAATCTCGGACTAATGTGGCCTTATTTTCTGCAATGAAGGCCGTAAGTTTTGTGTGATCGCCTCTGCCTAAGCCTAAGGAAAGATTCATGAGCACCAGCATTACTTTGTAAATTAAATTGTTACACTAACCTTCATTTTCAGCCTTGAGTTGGGCTTTGACAAATGTGTTCCAGGAGTTAACACCTCTGGTCTTCTGCAGCATGCGACTGCGAAGAAACAGTTGGTTTCTGGTCCACTTGATTGATCTACAGGACAATTAATATATATCAGCAATAAGATATTAATGGTGCAGACTCACCAGCCATGTTTTTGTGCTATGTCAGTAGCCTCTGCTTTGTATGACTCCTTGGCAGTGTCAATGTCATCAGCGAGTGCTTCTCGATGGGCACACTGTTGAACCTTTTGGGTTACCATCAGTTGCGCACGCACTCAATGGATTTTAGGAGTCAGACAAGGAGCCATTGAAGTGGAATTAGCTTGAGGAGTGAATGGCAGCAACATTTTATACATTTCAAGTCCAGGGACAGACACATGAAGTTGAATGAGCAATGAGTGGTCCAAATAATAAACGTTGCCAGAACATACGTGAGAATGGAGCGAAGCGAAATAACTAAGTCTAGACTAAATTGAAGGTTAGTGAGGTTGAAACAGATTCCAAACGGGTGGAACTCACCAAGTTTACGGTCAGAACTTGCACTAGCCATAATTTGAAGCACGTTGTGATGGCATTCTTCTGGGATATCAAGCTTTGCAAGTATGGCCTTCCAACTGTTTGTTCGGTATCCCTCAACCTGCTGGATGCAGTGCCAGATCTCGTCCATAGTACTGTGGTGAAGGGAAAGGCCAACAAGTGCATTGTCAATTTCACCACAGATACGGTCATGACCCACATCACAAGTCGACCAAACAGGACCTGGATCAGATGCCATGAGGTAAATGTGGTTAGTCACTGATACTCCGTCCTTGTGGCCTTGCAACATGGTTTTCATTTTGACCGCATTTCCCGTCCCATCGCCGACCAGCTTTTTTTTTTCCTGTCAGAATCTGTTAGTGTCAGGGCATTTTTCAGGGTCAGAACACCCACATTGTGGTGTTTGTGTGATTCCTTCGCATCAGAAGAACTTGATTGAGCTGTTACTTTCTTTACAGCAGGGGACATGGGCTTCGCCAGTACGAAAGGTCGTGATGGTAGCATAAGGGGACTTGGACCACCTGAAAGAATGCAATCTTCTGTAATATGAGTAGCACGTTCCACAGCAGCACTTGGTGGCTGGGTTGCTAAGACAAAGGGCGTGATGATATCGTGAGGGAACCCACGCCGCCTGGTAGTATACGGGTATGATAACCAAAGTCATTAGGCTGTGTGACACGCATTGGGCGCCACGATGTGACTCTGCTTGCTTCAGCATTGATCATGGCCCTTGGACACAGGAAGTGCAAGTGGTCGAGAGAATGGCGTAGAAGTGAAATTTGGGCTGCCAAATGTAGGGAAAGTCGAGTCACTAGAATTGATGATGTTAGACCACAAAGATGTGAAGTCAAATGACTCAGATGTGAAAGACATGATACTGTCGTCAGGAGTCTGATGAGAATGGAGAATGTTGAGTGAGTCTGAGGGATTTGGAAATAAGAAACCATCTGGTTGTACATGTTCAGAGGAAGCAATAGAATTTTGGTCTAATGCTGCTATTCCTGCCACACAACTGTTAAAACAAACTTATCAAAGCTGCAAGTGAATCATATATACTTTGAAGCATTCTGTTAGGTAGTTTGACCTTATCCCAGCAGAACCAGCACTGACGGACAAGTGGCGCAAGCCAACTAAGCAAGATATCATGGATAATTGTCGCTGTGGCCACCTCAGCCTCAGTCTCGAGGGGACAAAAAGATGAAACAGCAGTAACGATGTGAGGGAATGAGCAAAAGTGTCCTGGTTTCTTCAAGAACTCGAATGCTACTGATAGTTTTATATTGAAGTGATCTTTCTTGAAAAACAGATTCAACAGTGGCTCGAATCATTTAAATGATAAACTTACAATTTCTCCTTGCAGATCAAGATAATCCAGATGGTTAGGGACAGGATCCAGCTCAACAGCCTAGTTCATAGCATCATCTTCAGGACCATTCACACTACCCTCGTCATCTCTGTCTCCAGTGGGTGCAATGACTGTGTGGTCTGTAGGAAGATGTTCACCTGTGTATCTGTCAAGTGCGTAAATTTGTTGGAGTCACTTGTGATGGTTGTTGTTGATACGGTGGCGCTTGGCATACAATGTCTTCAGCTCAGCTATGAGTGAAGAATCTGGGTCATCAGCGAGGAGTGAATCAATAGCTTCCAACATGGTCCTGTCCTCGTGCTCAACCCAACTCTGTAAGTGTTTGATCTTGACATTGAGCCATACAATCTCTTCATGCAATCGTACCAATTTGAAATACTTCGCGGCCATCTTGTGATTCACAGATACAGCCCATGGTTTTGTAAGGATATCATGGCATGAGTGTTTCAAAACTGAGAATTCACCAAGAGATGCATATCTGACAATTTTGGAATAGTCAAGTACAGGACGTGGTGGATCTTGTAAGGGTGCGAGTCTATTGTACTTCTCCAAAGCTGTTTGTATGGTAGCCGATCGTCGTGTGATGGCCTTTGAGATATACTTTCGCATCTTGTAGCCTGCGGTAGTTCATGAGTACATCACTTACCTCAATGTCCAGTAAGCGAATGAATTGACGTTCCTGAGAAAATCTAACTGCTTGCACATATTTTGGGTCATGCGGTAGTCACCGCTCCATAATGCTGTGACGACGCTCAAAGTCTTCAACAACATTCAGTTGCAGCTCATATTTGCATAGCGCAGATGTATGTTCAGATTCGAATGCTCTGGAATTGTTGCGAGCAGCGGCATTGAGCCCAGCAGTGTGAGTAAAATTTGCAGGAGTGTACGTCAGAAAGGTACAGAAGTGAGATGACCATACATTGCTCTAAAACATGCAATGAGAACTAAATAAATAAACAGGGTGCAAAGACAAACTCCGCATATTGAAGCTTCTCAAGCTGTTCAACGTAAGCCACTGTGATTGCATCTGAAGTAGGTTCTGTAGCAACCTTGCTGAGGTAATCATGATCCTCATTGCACCAACTTATGAAGTCCGCATCCATAAGATTATGGAGCTGCTTGAAGTCCTCGAGGACAGGTGTGTTGGTCTTGATGATCTGAAGAGCTTGAACATAGTTATTGTAAAGAAATTTGCCTAGAATTGTCAGAAACCATTGCTATCAGGCGCTCAAAACGAAGTACCTGTCCATGTCCCACTGATCGAAGTGGAGGTCAAGGAACTGCATCCAATGGAAGTATGATGCATGTCTGATCAAGACTGCAGCACTGTTTGAACTGGTGAAGATATGTTCACAAGTCTCGAGGTCTTCAAGTCCTAGGCCATTGAGATATAGAGGGTGATTTTGAAGCTGACAGCGGTGGTCGTGAGAAAAGCTGTGGAAGGCATTTACAACAACCTGTAGATTTAGGTCAGCTGCCTTGGCTCCAATAGAGCTTGTCGCAATTGTTTTGCGAGATGAGCATGCGATGTCGTGTCCGATAGCCTGATCCGCACCACAGACATCAAGCAGTCTATTGACTGTGGCGGGACCATATTTCGCACTGTTTGTGAATGATTAGCATAGTACAAATGAGAGTTAAAACACGTACAGTTCACCACTATGCTTCATCTCAGCTACACACTCAATAAGCCTGTGATGACATGCTAAAAGAAAAATCCCAGTCTAGTCAAACACAGTAATTGTATTGTCATCCACAGCTTTGGCTGCAGTCCAGTTCTCTGTGCAAGCACTCAATATTGCTGAGTCTACTGTGGAGGATTCACTAGTTCGACGTTGAATGTCATCCTTGAATTGGTCTACCTCGGCCTCGGAAATAGAATATTGGCTCTGAAATAGTCGCGTATCAGCTGATCCTGAGCCGTCCAATCGCTTTGCAGAGAAATTGCCATCCATCGCATGGAGCTGGGCTGGTGACAAGATTGACTCATTAGGTTGCTGTAAAATTGATGTAATCATATCTACATATTTGAGAATGGAGCATTACCTTGAATGTACAGGAAGGACAAGCACCATTGATCTGCCAGGTATTGGGATCTTTGCCCAAGATCCAGTCAACACAACTCCGAATTTCCTTCAAGATTTGCAGATAGATATCAAATGCATCAGAAATTGATCGTGAAGCTGTCGAAAATATGTAATCTGTATAGTAAGTGAGTACGACATCATAACATAACACCCTACAACTCTTACATTATGAAGCGTGCACAAAACCTTTGTAATCGCTTGGATACTAAATGAGGACTGGTGACGTCGTATTTGGTGATAGAGTTCGAGGCACTCAATGTGAATAGCAATAGTCGGCTGTAGTGGGGAGCACCCCAAAAGTCCCATGCAGAGGAGGGCTGCATTGGCTGGTTCATTAGGACACTGTTGAATGGTGATGGCACGTGTAAATCCTTTTAATGTATGATTGAGCGTAAGTAGGGGCCATGTATTGGGGGAATGAAACCTCACCGGAAATTCCAACGGCATCAACATGGAATATATTGCACATCATGGTATTGTCATCAATGGTTGGTGCTCCATGTCTCCACGCCAAGTAGCCATTGACAAGGATGGGCATCTGCTCCTTCCACACGGCATTGGCATGCTGGCGACATTGTGTTCAGGTCCGCACATCAATGCGCCTGCGTACACGAGGCTCCCTAGAATAAAACATTAGATACCATGTAGAGGGCGAAAAAAATACTTACCGTTCTTGAGAGCATGTTAGGAAAAATTCAGATAGAAGGGGGCCACCCACAGGCTCATCCTCAATGACCTCATCTCCAAAGTCCATGGTCTCCAAGGAATCATGCCCAGCCTCCAACTGGGCTTCAGCAAGCAGCTCCTGCATACATTGAGAATTGTCTGATGATAGTGAGTAAGAGACCATCGTGAGAATAAGTGTCATACCTCAAATCTGGTGCGGTTCTTGCTCCCTTCAAAGCCATGAGTCTCATATTTGGGAGAGTGATGATCTGGTAGTACAAAAGACCCATAGAACTATTGAGAAGAGTCATGGTGACCCTTGACGATGTTGACATCTGTTTTTTTCGGGGGGACCATAATGGTGGTAATGTGGGACCTAGGCAAGGACAACGTCATATGAAGAGTATAAGTAAGCAGTGG